GAGGATGGAGGACGAGACAGGCTGGGGGAGAGGATGGAGGACGAGACAGGCTGGGGGAGAGGATGGGGGACGAGACAGGCTGGGGGAGAGGATGGAGAGGGATGTCTCTATTTTGGGCCCAAATTCTTCTGACATTTTTTTTTTCTGTCCTAAAGCCCCTCTTTTCTAGGAGCGCCATATTCTTGGTGTGAATTTCTATCAGCGCTTCATAGCAATAATAGTCACAGCAATAAGCCTTTCAATGAACACATTTGGTCCTGACAAGTTGAAAACAATATTTTGGTCTCTGGCCTCACTTACCCCCCTTAAAAAAAATTGTTAAAACACAGCACAGCGTGGGTCTGCCATGGCTGGCTTCGCCCACGCTCCACCTCTCTGGCTAAAGAAACTCAAAACTGACAATCTCATCCAATCTGGCAAAATGCTGCACCAATCAATTAATGCATCTCTATGAGGAGCGTTTAGCACCGCCATGCAGAGGGTGGGGGGCACTTAAAGTCGGTGGTGCACGTTGTGCAGCACTGACCCAGGAAGCATCTCTAGTGGCCATCTGAGTGACTGCCACTGGAGGTGTCCATAGGCAATAATGTAAACACTGCCTTTTCTCTGAACACATTACAGTGTTTCTCTGAAAAGGCAGTGTTTACATTAATAAGCTTTTAGGGACGGACAACGTTAAGCTTCAGTTGTTCGGGTGACTATAGTGTCCCTTTAACCCCTTGGGGACATGGGTCTAAACGCCGGCGGGCAGCATAGAACGCCCAAGCCGTCCTATGTACTTACCTGGTCGCTGACTATCGCAGTGGGGGGAATCAACGGCATCCCAGGGAGTCCCCCTGCTTCCATTCCGGCCCCCCTGGGCCATGTGATCGCGAGGTCCTTGCAAGGACCTCACAATAACATGGACGGCATAGAGATGCATTTAATCAATGCATCTCTATGAGGAAACTTTAGGGTCTCCATGCACAGTGTGGAGACGCTGAACAGCAGTATTGCACATTGTGCAGCACTGCCCCAGGAAGCACCTCCAGTGGCCATCTGAGGCCAGTGGAGGTTTTCCTAGGGGGTAATGTAAAAACTGACTTTTCTATGAATGGGAATGCCTGCAGGGAATGATTATTCTCACCAGAACAAGTACATTAAGTTGTAGTTGTTCTGGTGACTATAGTGTCCCTTTAAAGACTGCACCCATGGACTCAAGCTGTCAAAACAACTTAAAGGACCATTGTAGTTACCTAGAAAGCATTGAGAAATGCTTTCCTGTGGGCGGTTTGAATGCGCGCGCAGCTCTAGCTGCGCATGCACATTCGGCTCCACTCGGGAGCTGACGTCAGAGCGGGAGGAGAGGTCACCAGCGCCGAGGGAGCTCGGCGCTGGATGAAGGTAAGTGGCTGAAGGGGTCTTAACCCCTTCAGCCCTGAGGGAGGGGGGACCTAGGGATTATATATTGTCAGGAAAACAAGTTTGTTTTCCTGACACTATAGTGATCATTTAATTAAAATGAAGTTGTTTTGAGAGGGGAGTGTCCATTTATGAAGTGGTGTGAGCGAAGAGTCACTTTATGATGCAGAGTATCCCTTGATGTATTCCCTCAGTGCACTGTTTAGGGGCAGATACTTCCCACACCATGAATAAACTCTGTAGAGGTTGATGGGATAAGTATTTTATACTCCAGATCAGTTCTACTCATCAATTAGGATGAATGGAGCTGACATATAAACTGAAGGCAGCTGTACTAGTTGACACATAGCCTGTCCTATCGACAGAGCTACAATCTGCGGTTCGACTTTATCTTAGAAATAAATGACATAGTCTTTCTGGAAACATAGTTTCCAGATCACTGACAGAACTTGGAGATGAAGATACACACACTAATACATTTTGCACAGACAAAGCTGAATAATTCATTATTCAGAAATAGATGGCTTTATTGTTGAGGGTGGAACCACGTAGGTGGCTTATTTGAAGTATATGGAGGAAGATGATTAGGATTACATGGCTCATCTGGGCTTCAATTAAAGCAAGACTTAAAATGTCAAGTCCAACACTACAAGCCATGCCTTAAAGGGCCTTAAATGTCCCTATTGCCCCTAGTGCTGCAATGTTAAACATTGCAGTTTCAGAGAAAATTCAATGTTTACATTGCAGCTTGAAGTCTGCCCTCATTGGCTGTCTAATAGACAGCCACTAGAGGACTTCCTGGTTTGAAACTGACCTTTAGTCCGGTATCTGACGCTGGACATCTTCACGCTTTGCATGAGGACCTCCAGCGTACGATTTTTCCTATAGGAGAGCATTGATTCAATGCTTTCCTATGGGGTGGTCTAATGCGTGTGCCACGCATGCGCATTAGAGCCCGCTGGACGGAGAAGGAGCTTTGACCCAGTGACGAGGTACATTGGTGCTGGGATAAGGTAAGTAAATTCAAACCTGCATTTCCAACGCTCTAATGTGCCTGTCATTAGATCTATATAGGGCCCCCATGTGCAGCAATAATTCTAAAAATTTAAGTTCTAACCGACACTGCTCAACCCTCTGCCTCCCACAACATCATGGAGTAGTATTGAGGACCTGATACATAGGTCACTCATCCAAGCTTCTCCATATGAAAGCATTGTATTCAGTGTATTCACAGGACTGATGAAATATAGTAGTTATTCATTCATTTGTTGTCTTTAGTTTTCCCTATGACTTTAGCCAAAGAGGGGGTGGGTGCCTTGAAGCCACACAGCCACCAAGGCCCTACGTGCTGCCAGGTTGATAATGTTAAACAGTTTTTGCTGATGATGGGGTATATAAAGACATCTGTATCTGGTTTTACAAATTGTTTGTACATGTTGTGTTGGGGCCCTATTTGTTCTTTCCATTTCTGCTCAGCAATCCATTTTCATATGATATTAAATACCACAAGTAATACACAAAATAAGTGTTATGTGTGCATGTGGGGTATTGTAATTTGTCTAATAGATAGCAGAGGCTGGGTGCAATGACCAATGGCACAGTGTATGTATGTCACCTAATGTTATATTCTGTTAATATTCTCTCTCCTAGGATTACAAGGGACAGAAGCTAGCCGAGCAGATATTTCAAGGAATAATACTGTTCTCCGCAGTAAGTAATATCTTTGACATGTGAAATGGTTTTCTTGTTTTAAAGTGACTTTTTATCTAACATAACAGGTTTCTTTCAGGTTGTTGGTTTTATCTACGGCTATCTAATTGAACAGTTTGGATGGACAGTCTACATCGTTATTGCAGGATTTGCGTTGTCGTGCTTGGTAAGATTATTTCAGTTTTGGAGGGAAAATATCATGTTGTTTTCAGTCTTTGTCAGAATCCTAACTTATTGCATGTTGTGTAGGTTGTTGTGTCTGTTTTCTTTTGTAAAATGCAGACTTTACTTTTGTACACCATTTCCACGGACGTTTACTAGTTTTGCTACTGATGTGCATTTCCACAGATACTGCTGATAAGACAAAGTTGTAAACCAAACAGAACACTTTAGCTGAAACAACAAAGCTCTGACTATTTTCTCCTAAATGTTCCAGTTCAATTTTTAGTTAACTACATTTTAGTGTTAGTGAATTGTCACTTCTATTTTGAAGCAACGCAGTCAGATAAAGGTTTTTATTGAATATAGCTAAATAACTCCCTAAACAAGTTAATATTTACCTCACTGATTCAGTTCATTTAAAGGTCATTTATTTATTTTTATATATATATATATATATATATATATTTATTTTTTTATTACATTTGATAAAACCATGATTTGATTTTTTTTTTTATATTTATTAAGTATATTCATTTAATTGACAAAGCAGCAGTTTCACATAGAGCTATCACAGCACATTACAGATGTTCCAATGCAGCTTAATGACAAGTCTTTGCAAGGCAAGGGCTCTTGGCAATTGCTGCCTCATGGGTTTAGCTACACTGGGCTAACCAAACCAGGAAGTAACAGGAGCTGTCATCTGCTTGAAAGGGGCTTGAGTCAAACTCCGCCCACGCTACATTGCTGCGCATGCGAATTAGGTCTCTTCCGCCGGCTGACGTCGGCAGGGGAGACCTAATGCGCATGTTCGGCAATGGCCGTGCTCGCATTAGGATTTCCCCTATAGGAAAGCATTACTCAATTCTTTCATATGGGGAAAAATCTGACGCTGGAGATCCTCATGCAGAGCGTGAGGACATCCAGCGCCAGACAACGTACCAAGGGTCCGTTTCAATTCCGGAAGTCCCTCTAGTGGCTGTCTGGTAGACAGTAAACAGAGGAGAAGTTACCCTTTCTCGGAAACTGCAATAATTACCACTTTAGGGTTAATGGACATTGCACCCACACCACTTCCATGAGCTGAAGTGGTCTGGGTGCCTACAGTATCCCTTTAAATTTCATTAAATGTAAAAATTATATTTGCAATTGAATTTAATGACTATTGTACTTTAAGAATGTTTAATTTTTAATCTTGCAGTCTGGCGCACATTGATAATTATTCCACAACATAAATGTTCTATCCATGGAACAATTACACTCCCAGCTGCTAGATTTACCTGGTTAGGATCCCCAGCCATTTCACTATGCTTTCAGCTAAGCATTTCTGCATTAAAGGACCACTATAGGCACCCAGACCACTTCCGCTTAATGAAGTGGTCTATGTGCCAGGTCCATATAGGGTTAACCCTGTAGCTGTAAACATAGCAATTTCAGAGAAACTGCTATGTTTACATTAGGGTTATTCCAGCCTCTAGTGGCTCTCATTGAATGCGCATGCGGCGATGACGTCAGAAGAGGGAGGAGAGTCCACAGCGCCGAGGGAGCCCGGCGCTGGAAAAAGGAAAGTGTTTAACCCCTTGAGCTCGACGGGTGGGGGGTACCTATTAACACTATCATGCCAGGAAAACTAGTTTGTTTTCCTGGCACTATAGTGGTCCTTTAATGTTTTGTACAGGATTATTCACGAATTGTCAGAGTTCAAAATTAATTTACAAATTTAAGGCCAAATAGACTAATCATTTTGGTTAATTTTCACTTTAGTGAATAACCCTGCTAGTTTGTGATTCAAACAACAGTTTTTTTGATAGCATATCTCTGGAGTTGCCCAGTACACAACATTTTCATCAGTAGCTCCCTGGTGATCCCTGCTTGAATGGCTTGAAAAACAGTTTGCAAATGTGATAATTGTAATTAACATATTATTTTTTTTATAATGCAGTTAACCCTTCCCCCATGGCCAGTGTACCGACGGAATCCGCTAAAATGGCTGCCTGTTCAAGATTCAGGTGTGGATGAGAAGAAACAGTTGGATAAGAAATCAAAGAAACACAAGTAATGCGTGGACTTCAGGATGTGGCATGCAGTTTCTGGACCACCAGTGAAAAATGGACCTAAGCAAATGTTTCATATTGATTTGAAATGTTTTCTGCTAAGCAGAACATCATACTGATGTAAAAATGTAATCTTTTCTCCTCTCTTCCTTAGCAGATGAATTCTTTATACTCTGCATACTTCCTTTGTCTGTTTTTTTTGGAAAACCAGGTCAAATGTTTTGCCAGTTTGTTTAATAATTAACATTGTTCCTCCTTATCCAAAATACAAAGCTGTAATATTGATAAGATCCCAGTGATATGCCCCATGCTTTTTAGTTTCACATTATATCTACTGAGATCAAGGATGCAAACATTTTCTTTGGATTTATGCGAACAGATCTGGAGATTTTGATCCAATATTTGTGGATTTGCTGACTTGATTAACTCCCTGCAGAAATTGTGTGCTAGCCGTGAACTGCGCCCCCACCCATCTGCGTGCTATGTTACATCTTATTCCCTTTAATCCATATCTCAAATTCACTCCTATACCTTGGGTGTACGAGAGGGAAGTCCATTACCCTATGGTCAATACACAAGTTGTGAATAAAACCTTCATAAAATAAATCCTGAGAATTGGGTAAATCCATTTTTCATTTTGATGACTATAACCAGCTTGCTTGGTAAATATTTTGCTATTGTTAAACCTAAAGGCGTACTGGGCAATAAAGGTTATTATTCCTTACGCATACTGAATGAGCTGTGCTTTAAATGCTCTTTGCCACATTGTATATCTGCCAGTTGGTAAGAAACCCCACAATTTGCTGTATTTGTTTAAAATACACAAATCATTTTTTATCATTTCTTGAGTATTATTTACACTTTGATGTGTTACATAAATACTATGGCTCATCCCCTGCTATAGATTGTATCCTTCATAGTGTTCAATCTTGAACTCCCTGTCAATAACTAAAGAGTAAGCACTGTATGTTCAATCGCAAGTAAACAGGTAGTATTGCAGAAAGCCATATGCCAAGTGTTTTGCATTTTAAGAAGAAAATTTTTTTCCCCTCCTCTTTCTGAATAGCTAATAGTGCCTAAAGTCCCCTGGCAATGTCCCTACATTCAGTGTTAAACGATTTCCAGCAAGTTAACATTGAACGAGGTTCCCTTTCTTGCCATAACTATCCCAACTGGAGGTTTGGTTATGGCAGAGATTCTATCAATACTGATTAATTCACCCCGATAGGCACTGTGTGCCAGCTGACAGCTTTCAGCCTGTGTTGCTCAGGCTGCTTCCTCAGCACAGTGGGGGAAATGACCTTGTTTAAAGGATTACTCCAACCAACATGACCACCTTAGTGTTTTGAAGTAGATGTGGTAAGAGTCTGAAGTGTTTCTGCTTAAAATACTGCACACATGCAGAGTTAATGTTAATTGTGTGCTGGGGGCAAGTTGCACTCTGTTTGCTTAATGTCAATTCTGTGCATATTTTAAGTCTGCCGGCAGGAGGAAGATTTCTTTCCCCTCCCTCTCTCAATTGTATAAAGGTTTTTTATTTAATTTAAACTGCACCTCTGAGCTGGCGAAAACACCCAATATTCTCCCATATAATTACTTTACAGTTTGATATTATTAGTGTTGGTGATACTCTTCCAAATGTACTATATTAACTCCTCTCGATACACTAGCTGCGGGTTCTATGGACACCTCTGCTCTCTAGTTATTGCTTGGTATATCCGCCCATTTACCTTTTTATATAGTGTGGTATACGATTAGTGTTGACAGTACCTAGCAAGATGAATTACTATATCCTCTTGAGATACATTTGTATCTAGCTATGTGTTTTATGGATACCTTTGTTCTCTAGTAACTTTGATGCATGAGATTTTCAGCATTAGCCGGTGTTAATAAAGCCTGTTGATTTGGCTCCATCGTATGGCGGCATTGCCATATTTTGTTTTCAGAGAGCGGTTTTGAATGGGTTGTTTTGATACACTTTCTCACGGGGATGTTGGGTGTAGTATTTTATCATCCTTTAAGAATACCAGGTTACACCCTCTCAAGTTGTATAGGGAGACTGTATTTTCTTTTTTGGGTTTTTACATATTTGGTGTGTCCCACTGGTGCATGGAGTGGGCCGCTGGCGGCTTAGTCGGTTATATAATTTTGTTTTGGTCCTTACTCAATTAGAATCGATAAAATAACTGTAAGATGTTTCCAAAACTGTACATGTGCTGAGTGTGTTTACTCTGGTTCCGTTCTGATCCAGCTTGTGCCCACCTTAACCCCTTAAGGACCAAACGTCTGGAATAAAATGGAATCATGACATGTCACACATGTCATGTGTCCTTAAGGGGTTAAACTGGCAATGACACAATATTTACAAGTTTTTATACAAGCCCCAATGTCCTTGGCATTCGAGTTGCAGTTTAGTGTTTGGAACTAATGAAATCACTCCTAAGATTTTATTTTGCTTTTTAACTGCCCTCAAAAGCCAGGTGACTTGAATGAAATTTAGCTCCTAAAATTTGAATTTGGTTTGTTGCAATGTGCAAATCTAGAGGAACTTTTTTTTTTTGGCCTCTAAAAAATTCCAGCACATTTAAAGAAAACACTACTGGGTTGTATGGCATTCCACTTCAGGAAATTCTATCATTATCCAAACATATTACATTATGTAAATTTTTCTATATATTTAAGTTCAGGCAAATTCCCACAAAATTAACAGCAGTAAAAATAAACCATTAAAATATACAGTAAACTTTAATTACAGTAATAAAAAAAAAAACACAACTTTACATTTACCAAATGGCAATTCAATTCTATTTAAACAAACCTATCTTTAGAGCAAGGTAAATGTGATTATAATATTCACAGACTTAAGGTTGCTACATTTCAATTCTAAAATGTTATCATTTCAAATGTAGAGGTTAGGGAGAAACACTGTAAGCAGGACAAAATGTGATGTTCCTGATTAAAACCACAAAATGGCAGAGTAGGTAGGGGTCAAGAGGCTCTGCCGACATGCTCCTGACATTGTAGTTTGTGTCAAACCATTTTACCCAAAATGAGTCACCTAGTTAAACTTCTGCATTACAAATTTCTGTTGTCTAAAGTTAGACATTGATATTACTAGTGGACAAATGTAAATTCCACCAGTAGCAATATGACAAGTAAGTGTTCAGGTCATAACAATCAGGGAAACCTCAGTTTATGTTATGACAATAGTTTGACAGAAGAAGCAGGGGGTGGCACCATGGAAATTGTATCACCTTAACCACTACAGCTCTGAATATATATTTACCTTGCCTATAAAACCAGTACTTCATTGATTGAGACATTATACCATTGATAGGCATGTGAGGAATCAGTGAGGATACATAAAGTGTCTGGCTGTATAACGGCCAGAGTGAATAGAGATCCATTTTACAGAACCAGATCACTCTACGATGCAAATACATTTCCCTCAGTGTTCTAGGACAACAGCACTATACACACTCCTGAACAAATAACCAGAATGAAGTACAGAGCTTGGACTGAAGATGTTTCTTCCTGAAAAAGGAGGTAATATCACATTTCATAGATAAATGTTCCTGCAGTCGCAGTGCTAATTCACTGCCATTTAGGAGTCAAACCACTTTATGCAGCCCCAGACACACCTCTGCATGTGACCCACACATTTACTGTTAAGAGATATCTAATGTTTAATCTAACTTCCTTTATTGCACAGTGTGTTTAATTTTGAATTTATTATATCCTCTGTTAATAGCACTGGAAGCATCATGTGGTTAATAGTCAATGAAAAGAGCCAGAGATTAAAACCTGTAAAGTAGATAAAGATCTGAGGCCAATTTCTTTTATACAGGCGGTCACTCACAGCCAGGGGAGATGTGGTTAGAACTGCATAAACACAAAGTGATTTAGCTTAGAGATTTGAGCAGTGAAACTGTACGGGCATGATCTATACACCAAAACAGCTTAATTAAGCCAACGTTGTTTTGGTGCATATCGTATCTCTTTAAAGAAGTTCTATGGGTAACATGTGGCTTAATCCAAAGGGGCAGTGAATGTCTTTTTTTTCCTTTTAGTTTTTAAATAATGATCCTGTACCTTAATGATTATATGGCCCAATTTGCCTTTAATTTATCTTTTTATAAAAGCATTTACTGCAACATTTATGGACTGTTTAAGGTGGTAAACAGTTCGAGTTTTGTTTTTTTTAACTCTTTTAGGGAGCTAAATGGGAGGTGGTATTACAGAGATATTTATCATCATGATTATGAGTACCTGCATAAATCAACACTGAAAAAGTGTTGAAAATAGAAAATTATAAAGTATGCCACACAAATGAAAAACATCTAGATCTTATTTGTTTTCTGTACTTACAAAAGACGAATATATTTTAGTTTTATGATTTATGAGCTCTAAGAAAATGTTGCAATAATGCCTTATACAGTCATGGGATGAAGAAAGTACACCCTCTTCGAACTCTATAGTTTTACATATCAGGACATCATATCTGTTCCTTAGCACATCTTAAAATTAGGTAAATACAACCTCAGATGAACAACACATGACATATTACACAAAGTTTTAGCAGTTGCACACAAAAAAACAAACCGTTTTTTTCAAACTCTACAGGACTCAGCATATTGAATGTTAAAGTTCATGATTGTCCAATTAGAAAAAGATTGAAAAAACATGGTTTGTTTGGAAGGGTTGCTAAGGAAAAGACTTTGCTCCAAAAAGAACATGGCAGCATGGCTTAGGTTTGCAAAGTTGCTTCTGAACAAACCACAAGATTTATGGAACAATGTCCTTTGGACAGACAAGACCAGAATGGACCATAACGCACAGTGCCACGTTTAGCGAAAACCAAGCACAGCATATCAGCACAAACAGCTTATACCAACTGTCAAGCACAGCGGTGGAAGTGTGACGATTTGGGGTTGTTTTGCAGTCATTAAGTCGACCATGAACTTCTCTATATACCAAAGTATACTACAGTCAAATGTGAGGCAATCTGTCCGACAGCTGAAGCTTGACCGAAATTGGGTACAGCAGTACAATGATCCCAAACACACCAGCAACTCTACAACAGCATCACTGAAAAAAAACAGGAAAAAAACCAAGGTGTTGCAATGGCCCAGTCAAAGTCCAGACCTCAACTCGATTGAAATGCTATGGCAGGACCTTAAGAGTGCTGTGCATAAACAAATGCCACCAAACCTCAATGGACTGAAGTAATGCTGCAAAGAAGAATGGGCCAACATTCCTCCACAATGATGTGAGAGAATGATAAAGTCATACAGAATATAATTACTTGAAGTTATTGCTTCTAAAGGTGGTTCTACAAGCTATTGAATAATAAGATGTACTTCGTTTTTCACACATGACCTCCATTTAGGCTTTATTTTTATTAAAGGAACATTCAGAATCACTATCTAAGCCCTCTTGTCTCCCTAAATATAGTAAAATGTTGCCTTTTATTCCAGTCCAATCAGAAGTGATGATCTCAGCCAATCACAATGCTTTCTCATTGGAAAGCATTGGAATGGCTGAGATAGTCAATTCTGATGATCTCAGCCAAGGAGGTGGGGCAGGGGCAAAGCCAAATGCCTCTCTGGCCAATCAGCATCTCCTCAGAGAGATGCATTGAATCAATCCATCTCTATGGGGAAGTTCAGCGTCTCCATACAGAGTGTGGAGACACTGAAAGTCAGTGCTGCAGTACTGACACAGGAAGCACCTCAGAGGAGTGGTCACTAGAGGTGTTCCTAGGCTGCAATGTAATCACTGCCTTTTCTCTGAAATAAATAAATCATGACACTGTGTAAACTGTCATGTGGTGTTGTTGATTTGAGGTTGTATTGACCTAATTTTAAGACCTGCTAAGGAACAGATGATTGGTATGTCCTGATATATAAAACCATAGAATTCAAAGAGGGTATACTTTAAAATAATGAATGCAGGTAAATTTTATGTTTAGTGATTTTGTAATGATAAGCACTTAACTATTCATGTCCAGGTACCAATCATTTGAAATGTAGGGCTCAAAGACAATAAGATGAAGGGGTCACTCTGTGAAACCATCAAATATTTCTGTGTCCTATTGAATGGACACTGTGTTGTTTTGTGATAATATATACATTGCTGTATTTCTCTTTACGCCTGCTATTGCAATAAATACATAATACATGAATATATTTGCATTCAAACTATAAAAAAAGTTTTGCATTGTAAAATAATGCATCAGATAATGTAAAAAGTACAAAAATATACAGATTCTGAAGAAAGTAATAAAAAAAAAAAAAAATTAGACTGTCCTTAAAATTTGGAATTTTCCTCAAAAAATTTTAGTTGGCGAACTTTCTGGCTGTATATTGTGTATTTGTCCCCCAGATGCTTCTGCAACTGCACCTATAAGAAAAATCAATAAAATCAATATCAACGTAGCAGCTTTCATGTTAATCCATCATGATAAAGGAGGAGCTCAGTTTTGGCAAATGGTAGACTACATTGCCCTCAATGTACCAAATGTAGTATAGTATATGGGGATCATGCTAAAACCACCAGCAAGTAATGCCACACTCACAGTCCCCTTACTAGGGTTACTTGTTTTTAATTAACAGAGCATTTTTCTTAAATTATACACTATTGTAGTGAATATGTTAACAATAAATATGCTGTCAGGGTATTTCCACTGGCAGACATTTTTGTGTTAAGATAGAAATTAAAAATGCATACTGTAAGTCACCATTAAAACAGAGGTGACTCCATTTTGTAACAAAATACAAAAAGACAGACTTTTTTTTACTTCTCTGTAACTCTATTCATTCAAGCAAAGGAATGCGTCTAGCATAAACACTGGCCAGAATTAAGACTCTCTACAAGAAGGGGGGGTTGAAGAGAAAAAGCAACAGCCCAGAAAAAAAAAAAAAAACACACACTCTCTCTCTCTCTCTCTCTCTCTCTATCTCTCTCTATCTCTATCTCTATCTATATATGTTGGAAGGCCATTTGGCCTGAATCTGTGGGAGGAGTAATGATCCTATATAAACCCTACCCCCCTACGTACCTTTGTCTTGCAAGCCGTTTGTCTTAGTTACTTGCACTTCCGATCAAGGTTGCCCCCAAATCCTGCCTCGAGTATCCAGTCCCTCGATACAGCTCCTGTCACCGGCTTCTAAACCACCTTCGTTACTCGTTTTCCGGCTTCCGGTCACGAGACCGGCACCTACACGTAGGCACAAACGTGGGAAATGCCATTCGGCTATTTTCCATGTTCGAGTCTAAAAACACGGGGATAGGCTCCCTATTATTATTATTATTACTTACCATTTCGTTCCTTACGCTGTTCGTCTAACAGCTGAACTCAGAAGTTCATACTCACCTTTCTTTTTCATTCGTTTAAAAAATTAAAATACCGATCGCTCATACTTACCCTATCTGTTTCACACGTTCATATAGCCGAACACGCTTACGAATGGCTTTAATGCAGCCGTTTTCATTTTCTTATATAGTCTGCAGTTGATTTATATGTTAAATCCCTCTCTAGTTCGCTTAGCTGAACGCGGGAGGGATAAACAGGTATTCCCTATATGTTATGTATATACCCCAGTATGAAACTATACATGACTATTTCCTTTTTATATTGAAAGTTTATACTCTGTTTTTACCCCCTGTATATATCAAAGTCCGTGTGGCACCATTTCCCGACCCACCGTTACATTTAATTATGAACGAATTCCCAGCACTCTGCGGTTTCCACACAAGGGTTACCCTCTTAAAGGAACAGTTGGCCATTTAACCCTTTTTTTTTTATATCAGTGGGTCACTCAGCAAACACCCCCGCCTCCCCCTGGCCCCCGTTTCCTAGGCTAATTTCAGACCAGTCATACATATGACTAAACTGTTCCTTAAATATACTATTTCCCGGTCATCATTTTTAGAATACATTTGTTTTAGGTTCATCTACTTCAAGAAAATCTTCAAGAAGTGATTTCCAGGTTCCAGTTTCACGGTATCAGGTAAAAAGGTTTTACCAATTTTACGTTTCTCCTGAGGCCTCATTCTTGCGTAAACCCCACCCCCACCTCCCAAAGTGGGTTCTAAACGTTTATACACAGGTTTAAAAACGCCACCTAGACAACAACTACTCTCATAAACCTGCTCAACCGAGCTACTATCGTATTAACATATCATTTCCTGTTTATCGTTTCTACATAATATTACTTAGACTGATGCCATTTTACGCAGTTCCTCTACGTTATCAACAACCAACTGGCTACCTGGTCTCCGGCATTCAGAATCAGGTATTTTATCTTTCTCATTATGATTACGTTCTCATTAAGGCCTCACTTGACTTTGTTTCATTCATAAATTCACATCCCTGGGTACCAAGGGGCTTGTCTCTTATTATGGACCAACGTTCAGGTCCCTCAGCTTACTCATGCTTACGTTACAGTATCTCTGGTACACACCTACCCATACGTTCTACATTTTTACACTTGGCACACCGGTGGCACGCCTCAGGCCCACTAACATCTCCTTTTCCCTTAGGTTCTGGATCGAGCCTGTTTTCCTGCAGAAGCTAATTTATAGCCATATCGAAGTCTACCTGTGCTTTGTCCGAACAAAGAGGACTTATACTCAAGGTTAAGTATTTACATACGTACATATACATCACTGCGAGAGACAAGCCCCAGTAGTTTAGAGAACTGGCTACTTAGGTTCTGCCCTTAGCTATCTAATTAATACCCGGTCCCACGAGGTCTACATCCCTACCTCATACACGGAGGTTCGGCCCACGACCAAATCATAGTTAGCCACCTCGCTCGCCCTTCTTGTGGGCTATAGCCAGGGCTTCCCAAGTCACGGCCACACGTTTTGACTCTCTTTTTACGGTCACCGAGAGGCCTACACCCCGCCACCACGTGCATTTGGCCACAAAATCCCCTCAGGCCAAATCATAGGTAGAGCCTCTCTCCGCCACTTGGCACTAGCAGGGCCTCACCTGTCACTTGATCTAGGTAAACTTTTCTCTTCGGCACTAGCTAGCAGGCCAGTTCTCCGGAGGTCTCACCTTCACCTCCTCTTCACCCTACTTATTCAAATCATTATTCTCTTTCAGATGTCTCAAAAGCCGATCACCAAACATAGCCAGCGGGCCAATCAGGCCTGGGTCTCAGGAGAAATCCCTCACCCCTTTTACCCACAGGTCCTGAGATACTGGACCATTCCAAAAATCTCAGCGGAGCTCAGAAGCAGGGGTATCCCCTTTCCTGCCACGGCCAGAAAGGCCGAACTATATAGGCTCATGACCACTCAAGCCAACGTTCCCAGGCCAGGCTGTAGTTCACAAATCCTGCCAGCTCACACTTCGTATTCCACACGAGACACCCTGGCTGCTATACTCACCAACCTCCAACAATTAATCACAGACTAGCGAAACTGGAATCCGCTATAGCCACACCAGGTGCCTTGTTGGGCTCGGCAAACCTTCCCCTGACAGTTTCAGCCATATCTACTTCATACGTTTCCATGGCTCACCCTGTCCCTGACTTCATCAGAAAGGGCATTTCCAAGGGTAATGATGTTAACTCCATGGCCCTACTGCTGACCTCCCAAACTACGCTCACTAACACGACAGTCACTTCCACGGCTCACCACCCCCTCTCCCAACACACTAGTCAGGGTGCCGTTCGGAGTGACACGCCGGACAGTCACATTACATTTCTGGGCAAGGCTCGGGTGTGCAGTGACTTTAACGCCGGGGTATGTAATCTCACGACATGTGGGGCACTGCACATCTGCTCCATATGCTTCAGAACCCACACCAAGTCCCTTCTGTCACCTAAGAAACGCCTGACTGAAGTTAACATTGACATACTGAAATACTATCTCCAGTCACATCCAGCTAGGCACCTGGTAGATTATCTGGTGACAGGTTTTTCACAGGGGTTTCACGAGGGCCTTATCGCCATCCCCACAGGTACACTTGAATGCCCTAACCTTTTATCCGCTTCCACTGACCCATTCATGGTGGACCACCTTCTGTCTACAGAAATCACAGCCGGCTTTATGATCGGCCCGTTTCTGTCTTCACCTTTCTCATCTTGGCGTACCAATTCCATCGGTATAGCCATTCACAAATACTCCAACAAAAAATGTTTAATTATTGATCTCTCCGCACCTCACTCCTTCTCCACTCCTAGTATCAACTCCCTCATTCCCGCCATGGAGTTCTCACTGCAATACGCTAAAATTGATGATGCCATGGAGGCCATCTTATTAGCTGGTAGTGGAGCTTGGTTGAGCAAAACAGATATAACAAACGCCTTCAAACTACCTATTCACCCCTCACTATGGCACTTACATGGTGTTAAATGGAGAAACCGGTATTTTTTCGCCACCCGGCTCACTTTTGGCTCTAGGAACAGCGCCAGGTTATTCGATATCTTCGCAGAAACCCTCTGCTGGCTTCTCCTAAATATACTCAGGTGCCCCTCTGTCATCCACTACCTAGACGATTTTCTATTGATAGAACCAGGTTCACAATCCCCTCACTCCATACACACCACCACAGCTTTTTTCACGACACTCGGGGTCCCCTTGTCACATAGCAAAACACTCGGTCCCTCCACCAAGCTCATTTTCTTGGGCATAGTACTTGACACCACTACCGTCCAAGACAGTTTACCACCAGATAAGCTGTCCCACATTAAGAACGAGATTGTCCTGTTCCTGCGGAGTGTTGCGTACACTAGGAGGAGCCTCCAGTCCTTATTGGGGTCCCTTAACTTTGCTATGCGCATCATTCCACAGGGTAGATCTTTTGTCTCCAGGCTTCTCAACTTGCTCCACGGTGTGCCCGACTCATGCCCAATCGTGTTGGACGATCCGGCTAGGGCGGATTTACTCATGTGGAATAGTTTTCTGGCTGATTGGAATGAGATCTCTTTGTTCATTCCCCCACTTTCAGAGCACTCACCTTCGATTCACACAGACACAGTGGCACACACAGGGTTCGCAGCCATCTGCGGCAACCACTGGTTTAGGGACGACTGGCCCCCTGAGACGGATGCCTTGCAGACCTTTAGGGAAACATCTACTTTATTCGAGATCTACCCCATCGTAGCAGCCGCCCACACGTGGGGTCACCTTTGGACCGGCAAGGCAACTGCTTCTCCGACAACTCCGCAGCCTGCGACATCATTAACAAAGGTCGGTCCTCCTCCCTAACAATTATGAGGCCGATTCGCAGGCTGACGTGGTTGGCAGCTACCTCTCAGTTCTTCCTAGTCTGTAGCCACATTCCTGGTGTCCACAACACAGCAGCTGACGCTCTGTCACGCTCCCAATTTGATACCTTCTTCCAGGCACTCCCCAAGGCCCACAACTTTCCACCGAGGATACCACCTTTCCACAAGCTAATCTGGGACTAAGCACACAATTGCACCTCGCACAGGTACGCACGCTTCACGAAGGGTCACGACTTTCCCTTCACATACGACAGGGCTTACTGTATTGCACCATGACACATACAGGAGCTGGCTTAAATTCGAGAACCTCGCTGTTATAATCATGGTAAAATTTTTGCCTTTTTCTCTAAAACTCACAACCAAGCTTCTTACTTAAAACCTTCTATGCTGTCATTCAGCGGTTACGGCAGCTTCAAACACTTACACCCCAGTCTACATCACAAACAATGGGGTCATCAAGAAGCATCAGCTCAGGTACTTACATACCTCAATCAGAGTGAAGCACCTTACAAGCTTTCGTTACTCATGCTGTATTAACTTGCAATAAAGTGTGGTTTCTTTGAATCCTCTTTTGCCCTCTTTTTACAGGCCTACTCGTACGTTGGTTTCGGCACACCTCAACCAACTTTTGCTTTCCCTTCTACATTCCATTACGTATTAGATAAATTCCGAGCACAAGTTGGAAGGCCATTTGGCCTGAATTTGTGGGAGGAGTAATGATCCTATATAAACCCTACCCCCCTACTTGCCTTTGTCTTGCAAGCTGTTTGTCCCCACCCACCTACACCAATCTATATTAACACTCACCTTTGTGGCCCCTCTTTTTACAGGCCTACTCGTACGTTGGTTTTGGCACACCTCAACCAACTTCTGCTTTCCCTTCTACATTCCATTATGTATTAAATAAATTCAGAGCATAAAAAATATTTATATATATATATATATATATATATATATACCCACATACATACACACACACACACACACACACACACACACGCATATATACACACACACACACATATATATATATCCACATAAACTATAATTATGTTTAATCATATATAAATAGTACCTATGTTAATAATATTGAATATTCATGGATAGAATATCAATGAAAAAATGTCATATTATTAAACTAACATTAGCTGAATGTGTGTAAAAGACATGTATATATCACATGTCACATTACTAAGTGCTACACACAGTTTTACACAGAAACCAGACACATGATTACAAAAACAGATAACACTAAAAGTAATTAATTTTACTTTTTAAATATTAAGCATCTGATACAAATTTTCATTGTATTAGAGAAGGTGAACAAGGGTTCAGTGGTGTCAAAATCTAATTTTTATGACCAAAAAGTAGACAGTAAGTAGATGGGTAGCATAAAGATAACAGATTATGACGTCAAATGCATCACAAAATTCAGTTAACCCCTTATACAAAGTGGTAGTTGGACTTCCTGACGAGAATTTCTTGTGGTGTTATTACGCCATCTATTGACCAAAATCTAGATGATAACCTGTAGGGAAGACACACCCACCTTACTCTATTGGCCACACTAAACTAGTGACGTAAAGAAAGCTGGTCCTTTTAAAATAGAAGATACCTGAAGAGAAGATATCGTAGGTCTGAGATCGGGGCAGAAAAGCTAACACACCTAACTTTCTGTATCTCTTTCATCTAACTCTCGCACGCTGAAAACACTTGTCTCTCCAGCTGAAAATGTTCCTACTTCTCACAATTCACAATTCTCATACTTGCATTCACCATTTTATGGAATATCACCAAGCGAATGAAATTCTAGCAAGAAGATGGTAATTATACTGGTTTTATTTAATTTAAATTAATTAATTTTACTAAAAGCAGAAATATACCTGGATAAAAGCTGTTCAGGTTTCTAACTTAGAAATCATAATTAACTAAGAAATATATGGTTACATAATTCAATTCCTGCAGGTGGAATAAATAAACAATATATTTACTAGTAACTTGCCAAGTATTTTTATCCAGAGATACTGACTATCTGAATTTAGGGATAGTAATCTTTAGTCAGAAAGGTGAATCTGCTGCAAATGTAAAATCTGGTTAGTATTATTCTTATTGGTCATTCGATGAGAAGGAATGGTTAATTGATTTAGTATGAGAAAGATCATATTGTCAATTCCGATATAAAAGGGTATTTTGCCTGTGAGAATTGTAGCCAGCAGTGAGTGAGTTAACTCAGTGTGAGTGAAACGAACAGCGATTTTATTGCCATAAGCTGTGCTGTGGAAAGTTCTGTTTTACGGATTGTATAGCTGATTTCAAAGGGTGTCCTGTCGTAAATCTGTTGAAATTTGCATATATGGGGATATGTTGCTATTAAACTATCTGAAACTGTGTTAAACTGCCATATTGTATACATATGTTATACCTAAATATTCACTAATTATTGTCACGCATGTTACTTTTTTTTATTATTATTAATTATTGTCACAATAAATTATATTTTTATAAATTAGTTTGTAATTAATGTGTGAAATACAAATCCTCTAATAAAACATACTCCAGGGTCTATAACAGTTAAAAATAGTGGGTAGCTCTTAGCTTTAAATTAATCAAGGGGAACAGTGCCAATATATAAATTTTGATATAATAAAAATTATTAAATTCATTTCTGATAATTTTTATGAAATTATTCTTCTTAATTTTATCACCCCATAATATCCTCACAATGCATTGATCGCAGAATACAGCAAGGCTAAAAACTACAATACCTCTTTTTTTGTGTCATCCTCTTCTTCCATAATATCATAAACTTCTTCAAGAAGTTTCACACCCAGACCCTGGACAACATCAGTCCTCAGAGCTTCAATCATACGACGGAATTTCTCAGGAGCACTTAAATTATCTGCAAGGCAATGAAATATTGGAATTGGGTATCAAAGGCAATTCTGGGGCAAAGCTCTATAAATGAAGTAACATGTTACATAAACTCAAAAGAGATGTGTGTCCATCAAGTTCAGCCTTTTTCACATCTGTTTTTGCTGTTAATCCAAAATAACAGTTTGAAGCTCTTTCCAAAATTGCAACAAACTAGGGGGAAAAAAAACCTCTTTCTCAACCCCACAATTGCAGTCAGATCTCTCCATGTATCAAGAAATGGTTACCCTACCTATTAAAAATTATATCCCTGTATGTTATGTTTTTGCAAGTATTCATCCATTTGCTGTTTATTTGTATAGACTCTGATAAAACCACCTCTTCAGGCAGATAATTACACATCCTTATGGTTCTTACTGTAAAGAGCCTTTTCCTTTATCTAAATATCCTTCCTTCCAGTTTAAATGTATGACCCTGGGGGCATATGTATAGTCCTGTTTATGAATAGATTTCCAAACAATGGTTGGTTTTGGCTCGAATATGTTTGTATAATATTATTATATCCCTTCTAAAAATCAATTGGTAGTGTGAGCAGTTATTTTTGCGTTCCCTGCTTGGCCTGTGCCCCCAGGATGTGTGTGGCTTCATCAAGGAAAAACACGAATAGTACACGAGGGGAGCACCTCCCCCTCGCGGTCTGCGTAGGAGCGCAGGGTGTCATGTGACTACCCGGCACTTAGCATGACACATAGCTGGACACCGAGCTCCCCCCTCCCCTGACTGGCAAAACGGCAGGGAGGAGGCAAGTGAAGAGAGGTGGCTCTGTGAGTGCTGCATGGGAAGGAGAGAGGGAGGAGGGGGGCGAGGAATGCATAGGTAGGGAGATCTTGAGGAAGGTGGGAATGGGAGAGATATAGATAGGAGGGGAGAGGTTGGCAAAGGGGGGTATATGAATAGGAGGAGCAGGTTGGCAAGGGGGGGATATATGGATAGGAGTGGCAGGTTGGCAAGGGGATATATGGATAGGATGGGAGGTTGGCAAAGGGAGATTAATGGATAGGAGGCTGGAGGTTGGCAAGGGGGTGATATGGATAGGAGGGGGGAGGTTGGCAAGGGGAGATATGGATAGGAGGGATAGGGGGATATGGATAGAAGAGAGAGGTTGGATAGGAGGGGGTAGGTTGGCAAGGGGGAGCTATGGATAGGAGGGGAGAGGTTGGATAGAAGGGGGAGATTGACAATGGGGAAATATGGATGGAAGGGGTGAGGTATGGATAGATGGGGGTAGGTTGGCAATGGGGGAGATTTTCATAGAAGGGGAGAGGTTGGCAAGGAGGGAGATATAGATAGGAAGGGGGAGGTTGGCAAGGGGGGAGATATGGATAGGAGGTTGGAAAGTTGGGGGAAATGGATAGGAAGGGACAGTTTGGCAAGGAGGGTAGGTGTTGGATAGGAGGGGAGATGTTGGATAGAAGGTGAGATGTTGGATAGAAGGGGAGTTTGGCAAGGGGGGAGATATGGATAGGAGGAGGGAGATTGGCAAGGGGGAGCTTTATGGATAGGAGAGGGATTAGCAAGGGGGGATATGGATACTAGGGGGAAACATATGGATAGGAGGGAGGAGGTTGGCAAGGGGGAAAGATATGGATAGGAGGGGGGAGGTTGGGGGAAAGATATGGATAGGAGGGAGGAGGTTGGCAAGGGGAAAGATATGGATGGAAGGGGGGGAGGTTGGCAAGGGGGAAATATGGATGGAGGGGGGAGGTTGCCAAGGGGGGGGGATAGGCAAGTTGGGAGATATGAATAAGAGGGGGGAGTTTGGCAAGAGGAGAGATATGGATAGGAAGGCTGGAGGTTGGCAAGAGGGGCATATGGATGGAAGAGGGTAGGTTGGCAAGGGGGAGAGATATGGATGGAAGCGGGAAAGGTAGACATGGAAGGGCGAGAGAGATATGGATAGAAATGAGAAACATGAATGGATGGATGGGGGGGTAGAAGAGATATGGATGGGACGGGAGGGAGGTAGAAGTAAGCAGAGAGTGCAGTCACACTTAACCTGCCTGGAGATTGCAGATGAACTAGGGACACCTTACCTACCTGGCTGAGACAGCAGTTTGCATAGGGACTAAGGAAGCGAATGGAGCGGACATTCCAGACAATTGCATTACTACTGAGACAGTAAGTAACGAAGTAAAGCTTTTGAGCAAATAATATGTGTGAGATATTGTGTGAGAATGAAAGACGTCATTTTAGTTTGTGTTGTTTAAGGATTCACCAACTTTTATACAGGTCACAGATAACCAGTTAAATTATGCTATCTACTCATCAGGGGTTATTACTATCATTCATAGACAAACACAGTTCCACCATACACCGCCAGCCCCAAATCATTACAAACAGAAACAAACAAACAAACAAACAGTCTCCTCACACATTGACAGCAAAATGATCACACACACACACACATTCTCATCACACACAGCCAGCCCAATGCCAAACATAGTTTCCATCACATGTACATAACTCAATAACATCACACACAGACAACCCAATACATCACATGCAGTTCCTATTACTGTTAGACAGCCAAATATATCACACATAAACAGTAGCCATTACACTCATACAACCCAATATGCAGTCCACATTACACCCAGACACCCCAATACACCACATGCAGTCCCCACTATACCCGGATAGCCTGAGTTCATCGGTCACAACCAAGGTATTTGTTAGCTTTAAAAAAATATATTTTTTTTGTGACACCTGTATATACTCCTGTTTGTAAATGGGTGCAGGGCTTTGAAGAGCTCGTTAGTGGCGGGATACAGATGCAGCTGCAAAAAAGTGTGAGAGACCACTCTCTCGGCCAATGTGATGTTGCCTTTCATGCCACCGGAAATTTCATATCCGGCATCTTTTTCCTTCTGCATTATGTATGCAGGAGCTGTTTGAAGTCTTCGGGCAAGTTCTGTGAGTGCAATCTAAATGCCAGGGTAAGTCCTGAGCAAGTCCAATGAGGGCATTCTCAGTGCTGGGATGACTGCTGGGGCAAGTCCTGTGAGGGCATTCTCAGTGTTGGGGTGACGGCCACGGGCAGGTCTTGTGAGTGCAATTTAAGTGCTGGGGCAAGTCCTGTGAGTGCAATCTTAGTGCTGCGGTAAGTCATGGGTGCTTGGGCAAGTCATGTGAGTGCAATCTCTGTGCTGAGGTAAGTCCTGTGAGTTGGTATAAAACTTTTTCCAGGGCAGTTTTTTGTCACCAGTCCAGCATTGATATGGTGTGATGTCCCAGTGTTATGCTTGTAAAAAGGTATGAGTTATCTATGTTGTGCTTGCAATTAGGTGTAATGGCCTGTGTTGTGCTTGTCATAAGGTGTGATGTGCCTGTATTATGCTTGTGATAAGGTGTTATGTGCTTGTACTATGCTTGCAACATAGTGACAAGCATTCCTCTTCACCATCATTACACAAGTATAATATGTGCGTGTAAATGTATATTAATGATTTGAGGTTGATAACACAGATTATTATTGGCATTATTGGGAAAGCATTGTATATGGAGCTTTGCTATTTCATGTGTACGAGTTCTCCTTGCAGGGATTTCACATAGTGTGGAGGACTTTGGGTGACTGGCAGGACTAAGAAATCTCAGAAACTCAGGACAGGGAGGACGAGGAAACAAAATATAATGATAGATATTTCTTTAGTTTTCCTTTACATGGTGGAGAACATATATAGGAGTCATGCTATGTGGAGCAGCATCTTTAAAAATGTAAAATGAGTCCCATCTCTTCTGAATGTGATATCACATGTTTAACCTAAATCTCATTTGAGTACTATGCTCACTATGGAAATACAGACAATAAAAAAAGATTGTGATTGCTCAAAAAAAAAAAAAAAAAACACCTTTTCTTCTCTTTTTTCCATAATAGAAGGGGGTGGGGGTGATGAGTGTCAAAACGGCTCCTCGCCAAGGGCGCTGGAGACACTAGGTACGCCTCTGTTCACTATTATCATCAATAATGGTTAAAACCAAAGAACTAAAACAATATCAAGAGGGAATAACACATAAAGAACTGATTTATTTTTAGGTGATCTATAACTATACAGATCAAGATTCTATAGATTCTGGTACCCAGGTTTTCTGTTAAAAGTTTTGGAGTGGTTTGACAAAAAACAGAGCTCTACCTAGCTCCCACAGCCTGCCCTTTGCGTAGCTGTATTCCTAATGCAACAAAACAAAACCCATTATCCAGTGCAAAATCTGTCCGGCCCTGGATGGTAAGGATAGGCTGAGAGCACTGGACTTTACACTCACAATGCATGCAATTGTTATCAAAGGCTGGAAAAAATCCACTTCTTAAAGGGACACTATAGTCACAAGAACAGCTACAGCTTATAGTAATTGTTCTGGTGATTATAGTCAGTACCTTTAGGATTTTTTCAGTAAGCACTGTCTTTTCCTACATTACAGCCTGGGGATACCTCCAAAGGCAGCTCCTTCAGATGTCTACTAGAGGTGCTTCCTGGGACAGTACTGCACTCAGTCTCTCCAACCATTTGCATTGAGACACTGAACTTTCCTCAAAGAGATGCATTGATTCAATGCATCTCTATGAGGAGATGCTGATTGGCCAGGGCTGTGTTGGCTTGTTCTGGCTCTGCCCCTGATCTGCCTCTTTGACAGTCACCGGCCAATCCAATGCTTTCCGATCACTTCAGTCAAGCAGGCAGAGCATGCGGGCAGAGCCAGCAGTAGCAAACTGGAATAAAGATAATATTTTACTATATTTAGGGGTAGATGGCAGAGGGCTAGATGGTGTTTTTACCACTATAGTGTCAGGAATACATGTTTGTATTTAATGCAGAAGTCTAATCCTACATTATTAGTCCAGCTGAAGAGGGAAGGGCCAGCAAAGGGCCTTTGTCAAACTGCTTCAAAATAGTTTGATCGAAATCCAGAAATGAACTCATTAGACTTATAGAACCATGACCACTACAATAATCTGTAGTAGTATTAATGCTTAGAGTGTACCTCATTATTAAAGGACCACTATAGTGCCAGGAAAACATACTCGTTTTCCTGGCACTATAGTGCCCTGAGGGTGCCCCCACCCTCGGGGACCCCCTCCCGCCCGGCTCTGGAAGGGGGAAAGGGGGAAAAACTTACCTTTTTCCAGCGCTGGGCGGGGAGCTCTCTGCCTCCTCTCCTCCTCCGTTACGCCCCGCCGGCTGAAGTGAGAAGCACGCAAGCGCCTCTAGTGGCTGTCAATGAGACAGCCACTAGAGGGAATAGGGGGAAGGCTTAACCCATTAATAAACATAGTTTCTCTGAAACTGCTATGTTTATTAAAAAGTGGGTTTACCCTAGCTGGACCAGGCACCCAGACCACTTCATTAAGCTGAAGTGGTCTGGGTGCCTAGAGTGGTCCTTTAAAACGGCAGCCTTTTCTGGAAAGAAAACTTTCTGCCCCCAAAGACATTAATACATATATAATGTGAGAGAAGATTGAAATATTAACTAGACCTTGGGGAATGTCTCCGAAACAGATCTCTTCCACCACTCCTGCTGATTTCCCATGTAAACGCAGTGTGTCTCTGTATTTGCGGTGAAGTCTGAATTCACGGCACGGAATCAGGGGCATTTGATCTTTCTCCATATGTAATGTTTGCGTCATCAGTTGAACCAGATCTTGCATTTCATTTGAGTCGCTTTTTCTGCAAAACATAAATTTAGTAAAACGATTGCAGCAAACCTACTCATGTGTAACTATTACAAATATAGTAAAACAGCAATAGGGTTACCATCTGTACGTGTATGTAAAGTAATTTGTATCCATGGAGATATGTGAACAACATTCTGATTTATAAGTTCTCATTTAGAAAAGGTGTGAAGCACTAGTTGGTAGTCAGATAGGTAGACATATATTCTATAATTTGTGCTGGAAAAATTGTCATCCTGTAATTTGTAGTATGGAAAATCTGGCAAGTCTTGCTGCCACTGGTTACAATATTGCTAGTGTTTACTACTATACAGATGGCATAGCTCTAAAGATAAAAACAAAACTATACAAATTATATATGTACGCAACAGGTGCCCTTTTTTGGCAACAGAAAAGAAAAGGAAAACAAAAAAATAAGCATGAATATGGCTATTAACGGATTACTCCAAGCACCTGTGATCATGGTGCTGGGAGTGGGAGTCTGTATGGATGCCCAATTCCTCCCCTCTGCCCATAGAAACATAGAATGTGACGGCAGTTAAGAACCATTTGTCCCACCTAGCCTGCCTAATTTTCTAAATACTTTCATTAGTCCCTGGCCTTATCTTATAGCTAAGATAGCCTTATGCCTATCCCACGCATGCTTAAACTCCTTTAATGTGTTTACCTCTACCACTTTAAAAAAATGAAATTCCAGCGCACTCCCTTATCTACTAAACCGCTATTTTGGTGCTGACCGATTTTGTTAGTTTTATTACAAACACCTAATCTAGGCAAACAATAATTGCCTAGATTAGGTAGCTCATTTAGCAGAAAGGGTAGGACTTGCCAAAGATGGGGTACATTGACGTTGTGGCAGGCTTATGCAATATATGATCATATAATGTAATGCGCTGGATTTTCATTTTTACTGTACTTATTGGCCCCCAGCAGCACCCTATTTAAGCATGTTCAGGTGAGTGCAGCCAACCCCTTGTTTTCAACCTCTACCACTTCAGCTGGAAGGCTATTCAATGTGTCCACTACCCTCTCTGTAAAGTAAGACTTCCTGAAATTATTTTTAAACCTTTGTCCCTCTAATTTAAGACTATATCCTCTTGTTGTGGTAGTTTCTTTTAAATATAGTTTCCTCCTCTCTCCTAAATATAGTTTTACTCCAAGATGTTCTTACCCCTTTGTGAGGAGTGACATAACTGGAGGAGGATTAGGCTGCAGGGAGCACTTGGTCTCAGCATGGGATTAAAGGTATGTTTTTTTGCTTTATTTCATTATTATTTTTCACAGTATGCCAAAAACACTGTTTTTGATTGGAGTAACCCTTTAAGCAAGTTTAACCCCTTAAGAACGGCGGGCGTACTATGCCGTCCTTGGGGACACAGCTCTAAACGCCGGCGTGGGGTGGCATAGTACGTCCCAGCCGTCCAGGGGACTTACCTGCTCGCTGGTGATCCCCCGCCGGCAATCACAATGGGGGGACTTGCCTGGCATCCCAGGCAATCCCCCTGCTGCCGATTCGGCCCTCCTGGGCCATGTGATTGCGAGGTCCTTGCAAGGACCTCACAATCACATTGACGGAATAGCCGTCCATAGCAGTGCCAGCAGGGGAAGTACCTGGAATGACAGGTAGTCCCCCTGCTGCCGGTATTAAAGTAAAGAAACGTTAAAAACAGTGTAAAATAAAACAATATATACTCAGATTATATGTGTGCATATATATATATATATATATATATATATATATATTTGTGGTCGGAACTTAAAATTCGTATATGGAAATGGAGGAGAGGGAGAAAGTTGGTAGTGTTGTGCCGAAACCAACGTACGGTTAGGCCTGTATAAAGAGGGCCCACCAGGGATAATGTGATAAGTTATTAGTGGGAGTGGTGGGTGGGGTCACTCGAACATGAAAACGGCGTGGGTACGTAGAAGTGGCGTGAGTTTCTATAGGGAAAACTCTTCCCACAAATTCAGGCCTATGGCCTTTCACATATGATCTAAGTATATATATATACACTGTCCAAGTGTAATTAAAAATATTAAAATATATATATCAAAATACATGTAGAATGATACTAAATATATATTATAAAATAGATATACATATGCTAAAAAAAAAAAAAAAAAATACATATGTGTAATTTCGTTCTAACTGTATTTTGATATTAATATATATTGATATCAAAATACACTTAGAACGAAATATATATATATATATATATATATATATATATATATATATACACACACACACACCTATATATAAATAAAAATTATATATTTATTTTAATTCTACGTATATATTTATGTAATATTTTTACATAATTAAGTCATTTTATTAATTACAATTTGCAGGACCTGCCTGATAACCCAGGCAGAAAGTGTAGAGAATTTAATTTGCTAGCATTATATTTAACCCTGCAACTTTCCAAGACATCATAAAACCTGTACATGGGGGGTACGGTTTTACTCGGGAGACTTTGCTGAACTCAAATATTCATGTTTCAAAACAGTAAAATGTATTACAATAATATCGGAGAAAGTGACTTTTTTGCATTTTTACCAGACACACACACACACACGGCACTTACACGGATGATATAACTGTTGTGACACGGTTTTGAAACACTAATATTTGTGTTCAGCGAAGTCTCCCGAGTACAACAGTACCCCTCATGTACAGGTTTTATGGTGTTTTCAAAATTTAAAGAGTTAAATATAAGGCTTGTGTTTCAGTTTTTTCACATTGAAATTCGCCAGATTGGTTACGTTGCTTTGGAGACCGTATGGTAGCCCGGTAATGAGAATTACCCCCATGACGGCATACCAATTGCAAAAGCAGACAACCCAAGGTATTGCAAATGGGTTATGTCATGTCTTTTTTAGTAGCCACTTAGTCACAAACACTGGCCAAAATTGGCGTTCAAATTAGTTTTTTGCATTTTTCACACACAAACAAATATTAACGCTGACTTTATTTATTTATATATATATATATATATATTAAATAAAATGATATATAATAAGTGTGGGTGCACCTCATTTGAAAGAGGTGACTTACGGTTGAACAGACATATAGTTAAATTCGTTTTAAATTAAGTTTTATTTTAATCAAAATGTGTACATTTGGCTCAGTCCTTAAGGAGTTTAAGAAACTTGTAAAGTGATTTCATTCCTATATTTTCATGAAAAATAATGCATACAGCTGCTGAACTATATATTTCAATTGCCCTCCATTGGGCAGAGGTTTATGAGGTGTGCTGTGCATTTCCTCTGAGAATAATGAAAGGGTGAGGGGATTGGCTGAGATGCCATTTCCAAGTCTCTTAGAAGCTGCACAAAATAAAAAAATAAATAAAAAAAGTATACTCTAGCCTGCTGTGTTTTTTTAAGAATTATCATAAGTAAAATATTATACATATTAAAGGATCACTAGAGGGTCAGGAACACAAACATGTATTCCTGACCCTATAGTGCTAAACCCACCATTTAGGTGGCATGCCCCCCCTTAACCCCTCTATAAAAGTTTAATAAAAACTCACCTTATTTCCAGCGCTGCGCGGGTCTGCCGGCGCTGGCTCCGCCTGGCGCTGGCTCCACCTCCTTTGTGACATTATCAAAATGGTTGATTTTTAGCCAATCCAATGCTTTCCCATTGGAAAAGCATTGGATTGGCTAAAATCGGCACGGAGGCAGGGCCAAATGCCACTTTTGGCCAATCAGGTCCTCCTCCTAGATATGCATTGCAACAATGCATCTCTATGAGGAAAATTTAGCGTCTCCATGCAGATCATGGGGATGCTGAACGGCAGGGCTGCTTACTGTGCAGCCCTGAGCCAGAAAGCCCCTCCAGTGGCCATCAAAGTAGTGGCCACTTGGAGGTGTCCCTAGGGGCAATGTAAAGGCAGTGTTTACATGAAAATGCCTGAAGGGAGCTATTATACTCAACAGAACAACTACATTAAGCTGTAGTTGTTCTGGTGACTATAGTGTCCCTTTAAATGTAATCTGTGAATTAGAGGGCAAAGAGAAACGATTTACCCAGAGAAATGCAGAGCCAATGGAAACTTCTCAAGAGAATGAAAGAAACATGAAGTATTAGAGAGCCAAGGAAAGACTATCAAGAGCCTGGAAGGAACACAAAATTTACAAAGCTAAACAAAACATGTCAGCTAACTGGGAAAAAAAACCTCAAGTACTACGAATCTAAGACAATTTAACTCCACCACCCATGCCTTTTTTTTTCCTAGTAAATCTATATAGCTCGTGCTCATCTGCACCAATGTTTCTGGGTTTTTATGATCATGGTCCCATGGTTACACCAAAACTCTGCATTGCTTTACAGTAGTTTAGCTTCTCTTTTTACATTTTTAACATCAGATTCATTGTACTTAAAAATGTTTTACTGATAAAGCATTATAGAAAACGGACACTGTATCAAACCACAACAAATACACTCACCCATCCTTTAAATCACCCTCAGACTTCTCAGATGAGCTGGCCGAGGAACTTAAATCATCTTCAGATAAGCTATGCGATCTAGCCACATTTTTCTTCATTTAATGATAAAAAAAATAAATAATAATAATAATTGTAGTTATATTGACCAGAAGAAAGGCAATTTTGCTTACAGCAGAGTAAAATAATTAATTTAATAAACCATAAAGATGTGGAATCCTCTACCCAAGAAGCTGTCTTATCAGATTTTATAGATATTTGAAATAAAAGCTTGGATGATTTTTTATTTCTTTTTGCAAAAACGGAATATTCAAGGATATAATATGTACGTGAACAGGTTGTTGATCCAAGTAGAACCTGACTGCCATTATGGAGTCAAGAAGATTTTTTTCCCCATTTTGTGGAATGATTGAAAATGGCTACATTTGTTTGTATTTTTGTTTTGTAGTTTGTATTTTATTGATCAACGGCATAAAAGAATGGGTTACATTGGGTGAACTTGATAGACTTTATTATCCTTATTTCAACCTAATTACTACATAACTAGTTCGCATAAAGCCACAAAATATGCTGGCTGCAAGACTCTATATAATGTAATGTAATTTACCTCAGCTAACGCAATGTTCGGTATTGAGTGATTTGAAGAATTCCCAACAATGGATTTCCTGGGCCCATTACTTGATTGTTGCTCGCTTCCCACGGAGTATCTTCTGGCTGTTGGCTCTGTGTTAAAATGACATATAAATTATATAATCTTTGTAGCCAATCTAGCTTTTCTGCATGACTTCACACAAAAAAAAAAAAAAAAAATACATTTTGCCAAAGTGATTACATGGACAGGGTTCTTCACTACAGTGAGTATTGTTGGGAATTCACAACGAATGTCAAATGAAAGGCAAATATTGCCACATTGGAGGCACAGCTGAGTTAGAGATTTGGTTTTCCATTTCAGCTATTGTGACCTATAATATAAAATTCACTGAATAACCCTGTTAATCTCAGTCGTGGAGACAGATATTAAAATTTAAGCCAAAAGGAGAAAGAGGCGCAACTAGTGGAGTGAAAGGAAAGTATAAGTTAGAATCAGTGGCTGATATAATTGTAAGGGGCCCCGCGATCTCGGGCCCCTTACATACACATAGATCCTTTGCTGAGGGTTTTTGCAGAGCTGTGCAGCAGGACGGGGGCAGGAGGCTCTCAGTCTTTACCTTTACGGCTGCCACAGAGTCCCGGCTTTTGGAGTGTTGCCGTGGTTACTAAGGCAACACTCAATTCCACGTGGTGCCGGGACTTGTGAGAAGAGCCTTCACACACACTGTATCCCTCACAATAACACACACACACTGTACCCTTCACAATTACACACACTGCACCCCTCACAATTACACACTGCAGCTAACACACATTGAACCTCTCATACACACACACACTGTAACCCTCACAATTACACACTGTAACCCTCACAATCACATACACTGCACAACTAACAATCACACACACTGTACCCCCCATGCACTGTAACCCCTCACAATCACACACACACACACATACACTACATCCCTGTAAACATACACACTGCACCCCCACTACTGCCCCTATCCCCTTTAACAGGCCCTATTCCGTTACACAGTTTGACAACTTACTCTGGGAGGGCACAACAGCAGTTCTGGCACCATAACCACCATATAGGGCGGTAGTGATTATTGTGCCTTAAAAAAAAAATTAAAAAAAAAATCTACTAATGCCTCTCCCGAGATTAGGTTCTGGATCCGCCCCTGGTTAGAAGATCAACAGGAGAGTGAGCTATATAGTAAGCCAGGCGGAGAGGAACATAAAGTCATAGACAAGGACAGGGGGAAACATATTTGCACAGTAAAAGCAAGACAACCGGTTATATCATGAGGTGCATAAAAATACAATATAATAACCATAGTTAAATATTTCTTCCTGAGACTGTTTCAGCCGCCTTCTCTCTCGTGCAGACAGAGGTCGATTATCCTGTGCAAAAGTAAAGACAAGATCAAATTTAAAACCCATGGACACAGAATATATATACATACACACACACAGAGATAGCAATTGCATGCCTTTCATATATAGCATAGTGAAGTACAGCAAATTAGTATCACAGCCATTTAGATTAGGTAAAGACAGAAGTCTTTATTTTTAAAATAATTTGAAACAAATCAGAAATTATGGCTTTACTTCCTGTCCATTGTGATTACATACCTCTATACTTGACATTTAAATAACATAGAAAGATATCCAAATTTTGCCCAACACAAACATACAGAAGTGCAGACCCTAGCTTCCAGGTGTTAGGGAACATGTCCTAACACCTAAATAGATCACTTTTTATGAATACTACACTTGTCCTTCAGTTAAGATTTTAAATAAAAGGCACTTGGAATGTGTCACTACCGTCGGCTTACCTCTGAAATGAGGATTTGAATATTTTTAGACTGATTTACAGAGGTTGCAGATTCTGAGCTTTGTGTTTTCTTCACAGCGTGATGCAAGGCAGTAGGGAGGGAAGGCAGTGGTCTTGGAGGCACCTCATGAAACTAAAAGAGATGGATATTATTGTTAAAAAGACTACGCCTTGCAAAAACATAACAGCCCTTTCTAAATGAGCAATGTATTCAATTTTATGATGATCCACTGATCTAACATATACACTGGTGTAACGGCTGAAAATTTGATCCATCTATCCACACATACAGGAAAAGTTGAGAAGAACCTCCAATATAATTGCTGTCTATGAGGTTTAGCCATCAGTTATATTGGTTTCAATTGGCAGCGGCAGTGGGGGCTGGAATGCAGGTCCAACCAAACCCCTGCCTATTACAAGGTAGAGCTTTCAATGCTAACATACTTACGCCATAGGGGGAAGACAATTCTTCTGTGAATTTAATTAGCGGCCAGACACCTTGGCACAGAGTTAACAAAATCACACAAAACTTAGGGTCCCCGTGCCCACATCCCCAAACAAAAAGCTCTCTTCTGAACACCCACTCAGTCCAAAAAGCGCCCGGATTGGAGGTAGCTGGCCCGAGTAAAGCTTGAAGTAAAGTTTTGACCAGGCTGTGGCCATCCTCTGGTCCGGCGTAGAGTTCCATGAAGCTGGGTGGAAAATCCCGGTCACCAAAAACAACAGCGCTTTCCATGAGTGCATGGAGCTCCCTCAAGTGCTAGGTACCATTGGATGCCTTACAACCTCCTCTGTCTCTCCCCAAAACATCACCCTGCTAGGTGGTTCTGGGACCAAGAGCACTTGTGATAAACTTTTACCAGACAGCAGCTGGTCCACGATCCAAGCAAGACTTCCAGGGTGTTTGGTGGTTGCTCCCAGTCAAGCACACCTAGCCTCTGTAGCATTCCTGCAGATTTCTAATGCGCCTAAAGGCCACTAGGAAAGGCACTGAACTGGGAGGCAAGACTTAGAGGGTAAAACATGGTGATAACAGCTCTTTTTAGAGGGAGGTGGTGGTTAAGAGCCATGTACAGTTCCTGGGTGACCAGGTGGTCTGTCACATAAGTGTTTTATTTAATTTTTCTGCACTACAGACACATGCTCCCATTTAGAGTAAACTAGTTTGTACTAAGACATATATACGCACACTTCTGCCACATTTGACGTTAAGCTGAACGCATAAAGATGAATTGTAGGACTCGTCTCACAGCTTTGCCTTGACGTTGACAGGCAAGCTTACACTTTACAGTGCCATTACAGTGGTACTAAAACCTAGTCACTTCAAAGTGTGCATTGGATTTTGAGATATGTTGCATGTCACTTTTTTGGTTTTAAAAGTAAATATGCAAATACACACAAAATATACAAAAGGCACTCATTTCTGATGAACATGTTCCTTTAAAATGAACTAGTTAGGAATGAAAAACTAAATCTGATCTTTCTCCCCCAATTCTTTCCTTGCCATCAGTTCAGGACGTCAGTGGCAGAACCTCCTGTTCCAGATTGGGTGGACAACTCCTTATTTAGGACTGGTATCGTCCAATACAAAATGATTTTCTCAAATTGCACATTTGTCATTGAATGTCACACGAGAACATTTGCAGCATGCTTACATATATTTAACTTTTTCCTAGTGATTTAGGGGCAAACATTGACCTGTTAAGGAAAACTAAACACATGTTTCATATATGCTGGAACCTTAAAGGACCACTATAGGCACCCAGACTACTTCAGCTCAATTAAATGGTCTAGGTTCCAGGTCCCTCTAGGATTAACCCTGCCTGCTGTAAACATAGCAATTTCAGAGAAAGGGTTAATCCAGCCTATAGTTGCTGTCTCATTGACAGCCGCTAGAGGCGCTTCCGCGCTTCTCATTGTGGTTTTCACAGTGAGAAGACGCCAGCGTCCATAGGAAAGCATTGAGAATGCTTTCCTATGGACTGACTGAAGGCACGCGCGGCTCTTGCCACGCATGCGCATTCAGCCGATGACGACCGAAGGAGGAGGAGAGTGAAAGGTGAGTGTTTAACCCCCTTCCTCCCACTTCAGCCCAGCTGAAGTGGGACCCTGAGGGTGGGGGCACCCTCAGGGCACTATATTGCCAGGAAAACGAGTTTGTTTTCCTGGCACTATAGTGGTCTTTTAAATATCCTGCAACTCTTAGTACTCTTACTTAGTAATGTAAATATTTGTTCCATGAACCATGGAAAACGTAAGAGGACAGTAAAAAGGACATTAAGAAACATTTCCATTAAAAGAGAACCTTTTACCCAAAACTTATATCCACGTGGTACAGAAAACTAGACTTTTCTAAAATGCAATCAAATAATTTCCACAAAAGAATAGTCTGATGTGCCCAAATTAAGTATAGTCTAACAAATCTGGAATTGGTTTGTTACCTGATCGGAATTCACTGCTCTCTGGTCTCTCTGTCTTCGTTGCCTTGACAATGATGGTTCAGACACTGAACTGTGAGGCTGAAATCCAGAACATGCGTTGCTTTGTAAATCTTCTGATTTTAGAGGTAATCCATCCTAAAATAAAAAAATTAACCCACTGGAATAAACTTTCAGCTATGGAGAACAGTAACTCAAGATGCAATATGTTTACAGATGTAAACTCATTACCTCTCATTGTAAAGACAGCTGTTTGTGTTAAAATTATATTAATGTATGTTTATCCTAATTCGCAGCCAAATATATTTTGGATCCAATGCTCCCATAACAGCTGTAGTAATGAGTCTTAAAGGGAAACTATAGGCACCAAAACAACTTTAGCTTAATAGAGTGGTTTTGGTATATAGATCATGCACCTGCAGTCTCACTGCTCAATCCTTTGCCATTTATGAGTTAAATTCATTTTGTTTATACATCCAAGTCACACCTTTCTTCGCGTGACTTACATAGTTTTCCTAAACACTTCCTGTAAAATGAGATCTAATGTTTAAACTTCTTTTATTGCACATGCTCTTTCATGAAAGTCTTACCACCTGCTCTGTTAATAGCCTTCTAGACCCTGCCTCCTATATGTGATTAAAGTTCAATTTACAGAGCAGGAGATACAAAAAAGTTTCATTTCCAATCATATGTTAACTTACTTAAGAAGTTTTTATGTTGTCTGTGTCAGTCACAGTGAGGGGAGATGTGGTTAGAGCTGCATGGAAAGTAACAAAAGTGAAAAGGCCTATAGTCTGTGGGCAAAAGTCTGGCCTTAAAGCCTCTCCACAGTCCTGTTCCTCATTTCTGAACATTTTTTTGCAAAGTAGCAGGGTGCCATCAGAGAAAACCACTGCCATGAAGGGTTGTACATGGTCTTCAACAATCTTTAGGTAGGTGGTATGTGTCAAAGTAACATCCACAGGAATACCAGGACACAGGGTTTCCCAGCAGAACATTGCCCAGAGCATAACACTGCCACTGCCAGCTTGCCTTCTTACCATAATGCATCCCACTGCCATCTCTTCCCAAGTTAAACAATGCACACACAACCAGCCATCCACCTGACGAAAGGAAAATGTGATTAATCAGACCAGTCAACCTTCTTCCATTGCTAAATTCAGTTCTGACACACATGTCCCTATTGAAGGTACGTTCGGAGGTAAACAGGGGTCATCATGAACACTATGACCGGTCTGTGGCTACATACTCCCATACGCAGCAAACTGATGCACTGTATGTTCTGACGCCCTTCTATAATGGCCAGCATGAAGATTTGCATAAATTTGGGCTACAGTAGCTCTTTTGTGTGATTGGACCAGACAGGCTAGCCTTCACTCCCTATGTGCATCAATGAGCCTTGGGCGCCCATGACCCTACATAGTTACAAAGAGATATGCATTCATCAAGTTCAGCCTCTCTCTCTCATCTGTTTTTGCTGTTCATCCAAAAGAAGGCAAAAAAAAAATTTTTGCATCAAACTAGGGAAAAATTCATGTTTGATAGAAGAATGGCAGTTAGATGTCTCCTTGGATCAAAAGGTTATTATCCCACAAATTAAAAATTATATCCCTACTGAATATTATGCTTTTGCAAGTATTCATCTAGTTGCTGTTTAAATGTATAGACTGATGAAACCACCTCTTCAGGCAGAGAATTCCACATCCTTATTGTTCCTTGTTTGCCTTAATGAACACTATAGTGGCAAGAATACAAAAATATTCCTGATACTAAAGCTGTTAAAACACCATTTAAGGCTTTCATCCTGCAGTGCTCTTACTTTAATTTACAGAGCTCTACAGATCTGGATGGACATTTTGGAGGAGGATATTAGAGAGGGCAAGAGTAACTATTCTTTCCAATACAGCTTAAGACATAAAGCTGGCAGTGGGCTTTACTTCAGAAGCCTCCATGGACATGGTAAGAGCCCAAGCCAGAAAACTGAGATAAGGTAACCACAGGGAGATGCATAGGGGATCCTAGGGAATCACAGTTTATTGGGATCAATATATTACGAAGAATATTAGGATTGGGCCTTTGGGCGACGCCAGCTCTACCCAGAGCCACATTAGGTACCTGTTCAATAATTAAAACGGTATGCTAGAAGGAACGAGGTCACATGACTAGTGAACAACATGAGAGGGAACGGGTGGGGCTGGCCTACACAGAGGGACCCCCTAAACCAATTCTAATTTGTTAAGAGTCCTCTATCCAAAAGCTCACCCAGAGTCCTGAAACCCGATGATGGATCGCGCCCTTCTGGTTACTTAAATACTCCGATACAAAACATGATGTTCTGGGAGAAGAAAAAAGTGCACTGTATGTTATGTGTTCCGCATGCCCATTGTCCGGTATAATCTTGTAACCTTTGTTCACAATGTGGAGTATTGGGGGAAGTCCGTTTGCAAATGCCTGTTCTTTATATCCGTGCATGCAAAAATAAAGAATTATTTTAGCTAGAAGGCTCTGACTCACATCTTGGCCCACTGATGCCTCCTCCAAAACCAATTTGTGTGCTCTCCCCTTTCATGGAGATATGCTGTTCAGTAAGAACCTGGACGAATGCATAGAGGGAGTAGCTAAAGAACTTGGGGAAGATAAAGAGAGCTTTTCTTCCCCAAGTTCCGAGAACCAGGAAATCCTTTCGTTCCAAGAGATCTTCTGAAAATTCTCTTTCTTTCGTGACAGCAGATCATACAGAACAGAAAGGGAATAAGCTCTGTCATGGAGAAGTGGACAGTCCTCCATCAGAGGTGGAAAATCCAGAGGTTCTTCATCCACGCCAGATCTTTATTACGTGATTCTCTCCAAGTCCGGCGGAGTAGGGGCACATCTGTTTCTATTCCAAAAGCAATCCACAAAGCACAATTGGCTTTAGGATAGAATTCAAAAAGAATATCGAAAAAACGAAAACGAAATGGCCAGGGGACAGAAAAAAAAAAATGCCCTTCAGACATTTATTTAATCTGTTCAAGAGGAAGGCATAATTGTGCAGGTTCCCCCTGCAGAATAAACTCATGGATTTCACTCCTACCTTTTCCTCAGCAAAAAAGCCTCAGGAGGGAGGAGATCCATTATGGATCTACACAAATTAAACAAGTTCCTGAACATCTGCAAGTTCAAAATGGAATCCTAACAATCCATCATAAATGTAGTGTTTCTAGGGCAATGGTTGATATTACTAGACTTATCAGATGCCTATTTACATATTCCCATCACTCCCAAACATTAAAAGTAACTCTGATTTGCTATAGAGGAAGGTCACTTCCAATACAGAGCCCTTCCATTTGGACTCTTTAGAGAATGTCCAAGAAGCTGTAAAGTTCTGGTAGTACTCGTAGCAGAACTGAGAAAGAAAAAGGCATAGCTATATTGCACAATCTAGATTACATCTCGGTCTTAGCATGGACAGATTTGTCTTTGGTTCCTACAACTTCACGGCTGGAAAATCAATGCAGTCAAGTGTCATATAACTTCTGCCCAGTCCATGCTGTATTTAAGAGCCCCAACACAGACAAAGGCATGGTTTAGCTCTCAGAAGAAAGAGTTACAGGTCTTATAAAGAAAGTCAAATAAATATTGGTACCCAGTGTAACCTCGGCAGAGAAAGCCACAAGTCTTTTGGGATCTATGTCCCCCACTGTCCAACAAGGTAAGCACAATGATAAATGATTACTTTTCAGGACAATCCTTCTCAAGTTCAAATCAGGGAACATGCTTCAACCCATCAATATTCCACAGCATATGCATCAATCTATGATTGGTGGATACACAAGAAGTTTCTCTTCTCCCAGTTTCCCCCTGGGAGACATTTTCTTGGACTGTTTTAACTACAGACGCCTGCCAGTGCGGTTGGACAGCCTATCTTCAGAACAGCTATGTACACGAGAAATTGACATTTTCTGCAGCCAATACACCCTTCCAATCTCCTGGAACTTCTAGCTGTAATAGAACCTGAAGCATTTTAAACAACAACAACAGCCTCGCCACAAATGGGTAAAGATAAGATCAGACAATGGCACGGCGGTAGCATTTATCAATCATCAAGAAGGAACTCAAAGTTCAATGATAAAATTGATTAAACCACTGATGTCCTGGGTGCAACTACACCTGTTGGGGGGAAAGAGTGTCTGACAGCCGAACAAGATAGCAGCCTAAGCTCGGAGCTACTCGTAGTAACCGCTACAAATCGCAAATACAAGCCTGATCCCCCTGCGAAGCAAGACTGAGCACACTAAGAGGGCCACAGACCAACCTGGCACCCCCAGACCATCAGGGTCCATGATTCTGTGATTTAGGTACTTTTGTGCTCCAGAAAGAGAGACCGACCATTAGCCCTGATTCCCTGGAACTGTTTTAGGCATAGGACCATGTGCACGATCCGTCAAATTTATGACTTCCATGGAAATCCTGAACCCCTGAACCGATCAGGGTGATTTTTGGATATGTTGGTCCCTCAGATCAGGGCTATCAGGGGATGTGACTTTGTGGGGTTTCCATGTGTTTTAGGGGTACTTTCAGGATGTTGTTAAAATGTATGTTTTCTCTGCCTGGAGATAATTGAGTTTAGTACAGTGGTACAGGGGAGTGATTACCCTGTTTTGTGTGGGTGTGTCCTGGACCTGACAGCCAATGTAATTATGTGTATGTTTTAATGTAGTCTCCTCTCAGGTCCAGTGGGGAATGCCTCTGGAATATGTAATAGGAAACCACTTGCATGGGGAGTTGCATATAAGGCTGCATGTGGCTCACATTAAATCAGTTCCTCTTCACCCTCAACATAGAGCTTCATTTTATGTGTGAAGGGAACAGCTATATTCACTCTGGGGATTGCTACACTCATTATACTCCCTTGGATTATAATCCCTAGCTCTTGTAAGAGCTATCCTGTCTTACTTTCTGGATTTGGAGAGGTCTACCCAGTAGAAGCTGGATCCTGGTCTTGGGTCCAGGGTAGGTGGAGGACAGCGAGACCCCAAACAAGCTGTAACGCTGTCTGCAGTGTTTATGGTGGTTACGGTGTCTGGTGTGCTTGGAGTACTCGTAAGCACTAGGAAGTATCGATTGGCAGAGTCACCCAGTCGGGGTGCCAGGCGGTCCACCACAACCTCCAGCAGCCATTTACGGAAGCAGAATGGGACAAGATGCTGACCCTCATACAGAAGACGCCGACGTCGGCACGGGTACACAAAACCTCTTATAAGGTCCTAACAAGATGGCATCTGACACAAACCACCCTACACCGAAGGGATCCAGAGATATCGAAACTCTGCTGGCGCTGTGCAACAGATAGAGGCACGTTCCTCCACGTATGGTGGACATGCCGATTAATCACATTCTGGGAGAAGATCAGTCAAGTAGTGGAGAAATTATCAGAGGAACCACCCCTAATGGAATAAGTGACCTACTTGCTACACCACACGACCAATACAGTACAGAGATACAAACGCTCAGCGATACTGCGTCTCCTGACCGCAGCTAAAGTGGTGATCCCGATCTGCTGGCGCCAGGCACGGACCCCGGCGATCAAACAGTGGGTGGAAGAGGTGGAGGACATCAGGAGATTTGAAGACCTGAAAGCGGCTATGGTTAAAGAACGGGAACGATTGATGGTTCTACTGGTTAAGATTTCTGGCATCACCGGATTTCGTCAGAGTCACGAATGTTTAACCACTACTCACCCACCTCCCCTGCTTCCTCGCTCCTCTCTTTCGCACTCACCTCATTGTCGCTTGTCCCCTGCTACACTTTCTCCACATCCTCGAAGTCCCACCCTTCCCCCATTGACTACACTCCAGAGAGCTGGGTGCTGTCCGGCTGATGCCCGGAGTGCCTCTGGGCTAGCGTGCCTCGTCTGGGTTGGGTCGGCCAGGACTGATGCAGGGGCGGGGGCAGAGGGTGTCTCTAGTTGTGAAGGATAGCTGCATGCCCAGTTAGAACGAGGGAGACAGGACATATAGATTTAAATAACACACTGATCCCGACCTGACGCCCCAGAGACACCACTACCTACTGTACTGGGACCACTCTGCCTCAATAGCCATCTCCTCTCTACATAGGAAATTTGGCCATAGCCAAATGCGAAAGTCAATCCAATATTTCCAATATTCCTTCACTGAACCACACTGTTACGTTTCTTCTGCGACGAAAGAGCAGCTATTTACAGGCACTATACTGCCTAATCACGTTACCACAACTTATTACTACTTTACGATTTGACCTTATGTTACTAAAGCTTATTACTCTGAATCACACGGTTACGTTTCCTCTGCGTAGGAAACTCTGCTATATTCAGGCACTGTTATGCCAAGTCGAGTTGTCACAACTTATTACTACTGGAATGTTTTGACTTACAAAGTTACCTTTCCTCTGCTTAGGATATTCGATCTTAACCATACTTGCTGTATCAATAAAGATTTATTTCACACAACTACACCTGGTAGGTCTAACAGTTACCCTTGCAGGAGTGCAGAATTCAGTGGCATACTTCCTCAGCAGAGTAAAGATAGATCCATGGGAATGAAGCTTGTCAGACAGAGTCTTCCAAATGATAGTGAAAAGGGTGTCTTCCTCAAGTTGACCTGATGGCAACCAACAACAACAGGAAAGTCCACACGTTATTTTCCAGAAGCCTCACCATGCTATAGAGATGCACTATCAGGCAGATGGCATTTCACCCTGGGATATTCATTCCCTCCAATGCCGCTCATTTTCCCCCTCCCAGACGATGGTTTCTCATTTTGGCAATCCAGATGATGGTTTCTCCTTCCTTGAGTCTCTCCAAGAAAATACCATAGCAGCTTGCAAGTGTTCTTTCTATCATACATCAAGGTCCAGTTCTTCACCCAGATCAATCCTCCCTCAACCGGATAGCTTGGAGATTGAAAGTAAAGGGCAGAAAGGTAATGGATTTTCCCAGGCTGTAATCAACACCCTGTTTAAGGCCATAAAACGTTCCACTTCAGGCACATATTACAGGGTGAATACAAATACAAAAAGATAAGTCCTGCGCTCACTCCCGGGCGGCAGCAATGACCACAGTACACAATTTACTATACAATGTATAGTAAAAACCAAAGAAAAAAAAGTCACCTGCGCTCTCTCTCTTTAATCCCTATGTATATTTATACAAATGGAGGTAATTTAGTTACTCCAATGGTCAATCCCTCCAATGGCCATTGGAGTAACTAAATGACCTCTGTTTAAATATACAGGGAGTGCAGAATTATTAGGCAAGTTGTATTTTTGAGGATTAATTTTATTATTGAACAACAACCATGTTCTCAATGAACCCAAAAAACTCATTAATATCAAAGCTGAATATTTTTGGAAGTAGTTTTTAGTTTGTTTTTAGTTATAGCTATGTTAGGGGATATCTGTGTGTGCAGGTGACTATTACTGTGCATAATTATTAGGCAACTTAACAAAAAACAAATATATACCCATTTCAATTATTTATTATTACCAGTGAAACCAATATAACATCTCAACATTCACAAATATACATTTCTGACATTCAAAAACAAAACAAAAACAAATCGGTGACCAATATAGCCACCTTTCTTTGCAAGGACACTCAAAAGCCTGCCATCCATGGATTCTGTCAGTGTTTTGATCTGTTCACCATCAACATTGCGTGCAGCAGCAACCACAGCCTCCCAGACACTGTTCAGAGAGGTGTACTGTTTTCCCTCCTTGTAAATCTCACATTTGATGATGGATCACAGGTTCTCAATGGGGTTCAGATCAGGTGAACAAGGAGGCCATGTCATTAGATTTTTCTTCTTTTATACCCTTTCTTGCCAGCCACGCTGTGGAGTACTTGGACGCGTGTGATGGAGCATTGTCCTGCATGAAAATCATGTTTTTCTTGAAGGATGCAGACTTCTTCCTGTACCACTGCTTGAAGAAGGTGTCTTCAGGAACTGGCAGTAGGACTGGGAGTTGAGCTTGACTCCATCCTCAACCCGAAAAGGCCCCACAAGCTCATCTTTGATGATACCAGCCCAAACCAGTACTCCACCTCCACCTTGCTGGCGTCTGAGTCGGACTGGATCTCTCTGCCCTTTACCAATCCAGCCACGGGCCCATCCATCTGGCCCATCAAGACTCACTCTCATTTCATCAGTCCATAAAACCTTAGAAAAATCAGTCTTGAGATATTTCTTGGCCCAGTCTTGGCGTTTCAGCTTGTGTGTCTTGTTCAGTGGTGGTCGTCTTTCAGCCTTTCTTACCTTGGCCATGTCTCTGAGTATTGCACACCTTGTGCTTTGGGCACTCCAGTGATGTTGCAGCTCTGAAATATGGCCAAACTGGTGGCAAGTGGCATCGTGGCAGCTGCACGCTTGACTTTTCTCAGTTCATGGGCGGTTATTTTGCGCCTTGGTTTTTCCACACGCTTCTTGCGACCCTGTTGACTATTTTGAATGAAACGCTTGATTGTTCGATGATCACGCTTCAGAAACTTTGCAATTTTAAGAGTGCTGCATCCCTCTGCAAGATATCTCACTATTTTTGACTTTTCTGAGCCCGTCAAGTCCTTCTTTTGACCCATTTTGCCAAAGGAAAGGAAGTTGCCTAATAATTATGCACACCTGATATAGGGTGTTGATGTCATTAGACCACACCCCTTCTCATTACAGAGATGCACATCACCTAATATGCTTAAATTGGTAGTAGGCTTTCGAGCCTATACAGCTTGGAGTAAGACAACATGCATAAAGAGGATGATGTGGTCAAAATACTCATTTGCCTAATAATTCTGCACTCCCTGTACATAGGGATTAAGATGAGAGCACAGGTAACATATTACAGGGTATAGGATGCTTTTTCTTCCTGGGCAAATTCCAGACACACAGAAATACAAAATCCTTTGACTAAAGATATTCTGGAGTTCCTGCAATCTGGCCTCGATCAAGGACTGAGTTATAATACCTTAAAAGTCCATGTCTCAGCACTCTCTGCACTTACCAACCATAAATGGGCCTTTGACATGGATGTAGCAAGATTTACCAATGCAGTTTTAAAGATCAATCCACCAATTAAGCCTTTTGACCCTCCATGAGATTTACCTCTGATGTTGAAAGCTATAAAGCCACATCCCATTGAATATTTGGACTCTATTTCCCCTCACTTGCTAACCATCAAAACGTGTTACTGGAGGTTTTAGGTTCTGGCAGAAGGGTCTCGGAACTTCACACTCTTTCTTCTAAGGAACCTCTCACTGCCTTCCACAAGGATAAAACGATTCTCAGAATAATTCCTGAATTCCGCCCTAAAGTGGCTTCTGCTTTTAACATAAATGAGGAAATAGTGCTACCATCATTGCAGCTGTGGCTCAAGCTAGTATCGAAGAAATTGACCTTTTTTCTATTGACTTGGTTAGATGTGTAAAAATGTATCACAATAGATCATCTACTTGGCGTACTTCACAAAGTCTGTTTGTCATCCCTAATGGTACTAGCAGAGGCCTTTAAGTCTCAAAAGAAGCCAACAGTAGATGGATTGTGTTGGCCATTGCTCAATACCTTCATTAGACATTATTAATTAGATGTGAAGGCTGGACAATTTGATCAATTTGGTAAAAGTGGTCTTTCAAGATCCAACAAATACGTTTTTGATTCCTTGGTGTGATTTTCATGTTTTTGTTTGTGCTAATACACTTGCATCGCATAATTTGGAGTTTGAGTTTTTCTTTTCCCTCCTTGGTTATTGCTTGGGTATTACCCATTGTTGTGCTGCCATGGATATGGTCAGGAACAAGTAAAATGTATTCATATGTACCGTAATTTTCTTTTTCTGGTCATAGGCCAGATCCCACCCTGGAATATTGCTAGTAACAAGACTAAAGGGAGAGGGGGTAGAAGGGGTTATTTATACTGTTCTTTTAATTGGTTCTTGTCTAATTAGAGATAGGGAGGAGTTACCCATACACACAAAATATATGTAATTCTTAGTTTGTATATGTATATTGAAGGTTAATTATTCCCCCCACCATCCCCCCCAAATTCCCCCCTCCCCATCGAGATCGCCGGGCAAGGTAAGTTTGCGGGTCATGGGGGCTGACAAGCGTTAGGTTGTGCTATACTTCCCTAACATCATTAAAGCTTACTTTTTTCAGGATGGCAAAATACTCTAACGGCGTGAAGGGGTTAAAATTAAAAAAAAAAAAACAAACAAAAAAAAAAACTGCTATAAACCGTATAACTACTTACAATGAGAGGTGCCAGGGCTGTAACGCTGGCGTTGCATGGTCATGATTATGGTGCTTGGAGTGTTTTTTTAACATTCATATCCCATTTAGACATAAGTTAAACAGATAAGGTCATTTTGTAATCTGGCATTGTTGCCATTTTGTACGTACAGATATTGTATAAGAAGGTTTTTCAGATGTCCAATGTTTAAAAGCATATCAGTTACTGTCTTTAATACAGGCATTAATGACCTATACAGTCGAAGAGGGTTTAAACTTACTGGTTCAATTACTGGAATAAATGGCTCAAGTAGTTTATCTGTATCTTCCAGGTCTTCCTGCAAAAATGAAAAAAAAAAAAAAAAAAAGAATTGCAGGACACATTAAAAACATAACTCTGGTTATAGATCTAACCAAGCAGAACTGAAATAGGATATATATATATATATATATATATATATATATATATATATATACATACATACATACATACACACTAAATAAAGCTGATTGTTAAAATAAAATAGTAACTTGCAACATCAGATTTTGCCTAGTATATTTGTGGATGGACACTCTGCAACTCATTTTAAACTTTCATTTATTTATAGTTTAAAAGGACAGGAAGTGTAAAAACTTCCGAAATTAAACACAAATTCTGTGAAAAGTAAATGACAGGTCCCCAACAACAAAAAATGTAATGTGCTAAAAGCCAATTAGCTATGTTAACACTAATGAAAACAGTGCTCTTATATAAGAGGGTACCGACATGAAAGAAGAATGGTGGAGATGCATTTTTATTTCAAAATGCAATGTATCTATCATATGTAAACTTTTGTATGTATCATATGTAAAACCATTTTCTCAGTTTATCATGACTTATCCAAAAAGTAATTTTAAATTTCTAAAAATTGTTAGAGACATTTCTCAATAATAAAGGCTAAAGACTACTAGAATTCTACTCACCTGAACCTTAATAGAAATGTAATAATTGCAAAGCAATGTAAAACTATACAGCAATGCATTTGTAAACATTACTAACCCTTTCACTGTAGGATAGTCTAAATGACATACCATTTTAATTATCTGCAGTTTATTTATTTACGTGATTGAGTAAATCGGTATTACAGGAAATATCGGTCCCTAGAAAGAAGCATATATACATATCTAGAGGGTTCATCTGCCTATACCCACAATGCTTGCTGTGAATCAGAACTCACTGCGTTGAGCATGGCATCATTCTTCTGAATTGGTTGCAATAGCTTCAAGGTGTCTATGTTGTCAGTAGGCACAGTTTTGAGTCTTCTTTGATCTCCTGTGGCACGAGACGCTGAATTTGTCTTGCCCTGGTTTTCCTGATCCAAGGACATTATGTTCAGTTGTTTTTTGGAATCTTTCTCTTTCACATTCAGGTGTGTTCTGGGTTCATCTGCCAGCATGACGTGTCCTGAATTAGAATCTTCCTTTTCAGTTTCCAGGATATCAATATCTACTTTGCTTAGTGTTGAAATGGACACTACTGTTTCGCTCATACGATTCTTAGCGACTGAGTCAGGACTTGCTGGCTTGTTTTTCACAGGACTCTTTACTTTGTTCTGTGAAAATAGATACTTTGTAAATGGACAATTGCCTTCAAATAAAAAGCATATGGGATGACCGTATCTTTACATCACAACAGAGAAGGACCAATAAGAGGCCTAATATAGGGGATGGCAGAGGAAATTAACAAAATTTTTGAGCAAGACGACACATAGACTTCAAAGTTGAGTTGTGATACAGGGGTTAAAGCAACATGATTCAGATAATTGAAATCCACTTTTGCTTATTTGGCATTAGCACTATTTATTGTCTCCCATGCTGAAGTTAGTGTAGGACCCATTGGTGTACTGTGAAGTTGTGGTAGGCTTAACACAATATGGTCATATGGTGGAACTGAATCCCCATACTTGTTTGCTAATAGAGGTGATTTTAAGTAGTCTTGTAAACGTAAAACTGTATTTTTATGTGTGCGCTGTTCCTCAATCTGTATTATGTATAAAATATGTTAAAAAGACATTCTAAGCATCAAAAGCTTAATAAAGCAGTTTTTACGTATAGATCATGCCCCTGGGGTGTTCCTGCAGAGACTGCTGCATCATGATTTATAACCAAAAGTTATTTTGGTGTTCAGAGCATTTGAACTGTGTATTTAACTCCTTAAGGACAGCAGGCGTTCTATGCCAACCTGGCAGGGACGGTCCTAAATGCCACAAGGCGGCATAGAATATCCCCGCCATCCTGGGGACTTACCCGGTACCCGCCGACCCGACATTGCAGTCTGGGTCATGTGATTGCGGGGTCCTTGCGGACATATGGCCAGAATAGCCGGCTTGTGCAGTGCCTGCAAGGGTACTGCCTGGACTCTCAGGCAGTCCCCCTAATACCAGCACAAAAGTTTTTAAAAGTTAATAAATTAAATAAAAGTACTTAGATCATATATTAATTATATATAAATAAACAAACACACACAATCTCCATTCGCTTGCACTCCAGTATGTATAGTATAGTCAGCCCGGTGCTGGTCTGCATAGATACATACCAACTTGAAATGATAGCACTCGAGGGACTTCAAATTATGCAAAAAAATGAAACTTAGCACTTTTTTTTTTTTTTTTAATTAGCAAACATTGAATAAAAGCTATAATTTCAAGTTGATATAGATATATATATCCATATAACCAGAGGGCTGCACTCACCCTTAACATGCATAAATGAGGTGCTGCTGGGTGTTGCCATTGCCACGCATGCGCGTTAGGTCTCCCCTGCCAGCTGACATCGGTGGGGAGGAGCATGGGCGGAGACTGACCCAGTGCCGAGGGACATCGGCGCTGGATTCAGGTAAGTCACTGAAGGGGTTTAACCCCTTCAGCAACATGTGATGGGGTGTGGAAGGGAGAGGGGCACTGCAGGGTCCTGCAGTGCCAGTAAAATGGATATGTTTTCGTGGCACTGGAGAGTCCCTTCAAGGGTTAAAATAAATTACACAACACTTACATGAAGAAAAACACGGAGGGCAAATTACGTTTTCCTATGGCAAACACGAGTTTATATTCCTTTGAAGCAATAGCATAAAATAAATGATATTCTCATTAATCCTTGCCATCTCATAGGTAATGAAAAGTGATATTGAAGAAGGTGAAAGTAGAAATCTCAAAGCTTGAGAGGAATGTCTAGGTTTTTACCTTTTGAGGTTTCTGCATGTGGTCAGAACCTGCCCTTGCTTGAAGCTCCGAACTTCCATCACTCTTATTGGAAGAGGACTCTGAAGTTTTCTTTCTGCGTTTCTCAGGACTTTTTATAAAATGCAAAAATTTGATTATTCACAAACATCGCCAATTGGTCAGCATTCTATTTCTCATTCTAGTGGGCACATGTCTAAAAGACCCACTGGCATCTCATCCACTGCTATTACACAGGGAGCTGAAGGTAAGGGAAGTAAGCGCTTGCTGCGGGCCCCCTCTGTACTTTCCATGCCACAGAACAACCAGGAAATGCAAAATCCCCCCTCCCTGGCCAAGTAAGAAGCAGGGAGGGGGGACTTTTTTACGGCCCACATAAACTTAAACCTTGTTTATTTGGCCCGTGTTAGCTTTTGAGTTTGACATGCTTGATGTAACACAACAAATTAGACAGTACAAGTAGCTCATGACAATATCAAATGTATGCTTATTAATGCAAGAAGCCTAAATAACAAAATGGGGGGGTTGGAGGAGGTGGCGCTAGAGGCAATAGCATACACTAAGCAATAAGACATGATAGGCATAATGGAAACATGGTGGATGAGAAACATGACTGGTCAGTTAACGTATTTGGTTACACATTAATTAGAATGGATAGAAAGAACAGGAAAGGTGGAGGTGTATGTTTGTATGAAACCATGAGTTAAAGCCAAATATTAAGTAACTGTGACAAGGAAAAAAGGGAAAATGTGGAAGCTTTATGGGTACTTATCGGCTTGCTGCAAAAGAAGGGAAAACAATTATTGGTTGGGATATACAGGAACCATATTGATGAGCAAGAACAGCAGTTGGCATAGGTTCAAACAGTCCTCGGCACTTACTAGTAGTTCAGGATTTAGGGATACCAGTTGTGTCTAGAGTTACAGATCAAAGGGCCGGAGACTGGTATTTTCTGCAATATCGATGCCATCGTTACCGCGCACGCAGGCCGCAAGATTTGCAGTTGAAGGGCAGCGCCCATGGCCCCTCTGTAGCCTTTCCATGCAGACCACACAAAATCCCTGCCAGCCAAGCAAGCAGCAGGAGGAAATTAAAAAAAAAATAATAATTAAATATTTTGTAAAAAAAAAAAAAATGCCCCCTCCCCCAAATTACACACCTACAGAAACACACACACACACACACACTACACAAACACTGCATTATATAAACACACTACACAAACACACACTGCATTATATACACACACTACACAAACACTCACTGCATTCGCTATACACACACACTACACAAACACACTGCCTTCACTATACAAACACATTACACAAAACACACACACACTCTGCATTCATTATACACACACACACACACTGCATTTACTATACACACTGCAAAAACACACACTTTGCATTTAGTATACACACACACACACACTACACAAACACACTGCATTCACTTTACACATACTACATTTACTACACAGACACTACACACACACACACACACACACACTGCATTATATAAAACACAGTACACAAACACACTGCATTCACTATACACAAACACACAAACTTTGCATTTAGTATATACACACCCACACTGCATTCACTTCACGCACACTGCACACACACACACACTACACAAACACTGCATTCACTATACACTAGAGATGCATCGAAATTTTGCTGCCCAAAATATTCGGCCGAAAATGGGCCTATCCCGAAAACAGGTCAAATTTGCCGAAATGTAATATATATTATATATATATATATATATATATATTAAAAAAAAAAGAGGGGGTTGGCTGCACTCACCTGAACATGCATAAATGGGGGTGCTGTTGGGGGCCAAATAATACCCTATTTAGCCTTGTACTGCAGAGAGCCCCAGATGGAATTTTTTTTCCCCAAGTAAGTGGGTTAATCTCATAAGAGCAGACATTAAGCTGTTAGTGTAGGACCTGCCAAAGATGGGGTACATTGACGTTGTGGCAGGCTTATGCAATGTATGAACATATAATGTAGCTAAACCCCCATTATTTTTGCCTAGATTAGGTGTTTTAAAAAAAAAAACATATTAAAAAATAAATAAATAAATAAAACCTTTCAACATTGAAGTTGCTGTTTAGTGGATTGGTGAGTGCGCTGGATCTTGTGTATTATATATATATTATTTTAGAATTTTTTTTGTAGTTCATATTTTAACAGACATGCTTGCATTAACAATTCAGATGATTATAAATCACAATGAAAGATAGTAATGATAACATGAAAAGTCGAGAATACTGCACTTGGGACGGGAGGAGAAGAACACTATGGGACAGGGGAAGGGGGGGAGAACACTATGTGACAGGGGAGGGAGGGGCAGAACACTTTGGGACAGAGGAGGAGGGGAGAACACTATGGGACATTGTCTGCCTACCTTTTAGTCCTGCCAGGGACTATTGAAAGTATTTAGAAAATTGGGCAGACTAGATGGGCCGAATGGTTTTTATTTGCTGTCACATTCTATGTTTCTATGAGGGGGGAGAATACTATGGGACGGGGAGGGGAGAAAAGAACACTAAGGGACAGGGAAGGGGGGAGAAAAAAAAAAAAAAAAACACACTATGGGGCGGGGATGTGGGGGGGACACAATGGGACTGGGGAGGAGCGAGGAAAGAACACTAAAAAAGAGGAAGGGGAGAGGAACATTAAGCGGAGGGGACCACTAAAAGAGAAGGGAAGTTTTTCATATTAGATTGATTAAACACAAACACACACAGCTCCCCTGTCTAAACACAATGCATCCAGTACACATGGCATCAGGTTTTTGAACCTGTTAAATGACACCTTCATGTCACAACTGGTAGAAGCACCAACTAGAAAGGATGCTTGTGTCGATTTGGTTATGACAAACAATCTGGATCTTTTGTCAAACTTTCAAATATGGGAACACTTGGGAAATGGTGTTTTAATATGTTGTCTTTTGAATAAAAAAATAAAAATAAATACTCAAAAAAAAGCAAATGCACATTTGGTATACTAAAACAAATAATTTTAAAAAGGCAAATTTCATTAAGATAAGGGCAGCTCTACAACTCAATGACTGTCTCTTTAATGAAAATAAAACATGGAGGATATATGTAATATATTCAAAACAAATATTAGACATGTACTCTTCCCAGTATATACCATTGGGTAACAAATATAAAACCAACTAAAAGCAATATGGCTTAGTAGGAAAGTAAACCAAGAAATAAAAAATAAGAAAAGGCCATTAAAAACATTTAAATCAGACATATCCGAGGCATACTATATACATAAGGTATAGGAAGCCAATAATGCATGCAAGAAACTAGATCAGATTAGCTAAATTAGAAAATAGGAAAGTAATGTACCTATTTTAAAAAAAGAAAGTGTAGGTACACTGACATCAGAGATGGGTGTGTTAGTAAATGACAGACATTTTAAATAATTATTTTTCCTTTTTTATAAATGCTGCAGCAACTAAAGAAATGTAATGGAAACAAAGCCCCAGGAACTGATGGTATTCGCCCAAGAGTACTTAAGGAGCCAAGTGTGGAAATAACTAAACCTTTCTTTTTAATCCTTCCGGATTCTTTTTTTCCAGGAATTGTACCGGAGAATTTGATAAAGTTGGATGTGGTTCTTAGATTGAAATAGGGTTCAAAATCTTTGTCTGGAAATTATAAACCTGTGAGCTTAACCTCTGTGGCTGGGAAAGTATTTGAAGGGATATTAAGGGATTATTTTCAGAAAATCATTTGGAAGAACATTATTGGCAAAACTCTGCATAGTTTTATGAAACATAGGCCATGTCAAACTAAGTAAATTGCATTCTTCAAAGACGCAAGTAAAAGTATAGATCATGGTGTTGCAGTGGATGTGATCTACTTGGATTTTGCCAAGGTGTTAAATACAGTTCTACACAATAGGTTAATGTTCAAACTAAAAGAAATTGGTCTAGATTAAAATTCTTGTTCTTGAGTATAACACTGGCTTAAAGATACAGTATAGAGTTGCCATTATTGGTAGGTTTTCTGTTCTGGGACCACTACTTAGTGTCAATAACAAGAGAGACCCTGTACTTGCATGTATGAAAACTATGTTTTGTATCTTTGCACTTTAATATGTGGAATAAAAAAATAAAAAATAAAAAAATAAGTTGTGCAACAGCAATACTTAACCATGCAATATAGCAACAAAGTATAATGTGTCGCAAGTTAAGTTCAAATAAAGCATAATAATGACACCTCAATTTGCAGTATTCATTAAACACAGTGTAAATCATGTATAATGTTGCATTTGCACTCAATATTTGGAAACAATAAATAAATAAATCTGTGTTCCTAATACTTTAGTGCACTTTGGTCAATGCTTTCCTATTTGGATTAGATTACGCAGAGCGTGAGGAAGTTCGGCATCATTTAAGAGATTCAGAGTCCCTTAGAATTCCGGTAGTGCCTCTAGTGGCTACCTGATAGTGTAATAAATACCTTGCAGGATTAAGACTGCCTATCTCAAAAACTGCAATGATTTACATTGCAGGACTAAGTGGGAGAAGGACACTGCACCCAGATCACTTCAATGAGACAAAGTGGTCTGGGTGCCTATAGCATCACTTTAAGCATACAGTGAAGACAACAAGTGGCTTAGGGACAACTTTGTGAACGTCTTTGAGTGTTATTTTTTTGAGCAGTGTATATGAGCTCATATGTCCTGATGAAAGCTCCGTTTAGGGGCTGAAACTTCGAACACACTTGGATATACTTGAATAAAGATGATTTACTTACGAATTCCTGGAGTGCCGGTATCTTTTTAAAATATTATATATATAAAAAAAAAAAAAAATATGTATAAAAGGGTTGGAGTATCTCTATAATGGTCAGAATACTTATGCCAATGTGATTTCAGTTTAAAGGGACACTATAGTCACCTGAACAACTTTAGCTTAATGAAGCAGTTTTGGTGTATAGAACATGCCCCTGCAGCCTCACTGCTCAATCCTCTGCCATTTAGGAGTTAAATCCCCTTGTTTATGAACTCTAGTCACACCTCACTGCATGTGACTTGCACAGCCTTCCATAAACACTTCCTGTAAAGAGAGCCCTTTTTAGGCTTTCTGTATTGCAAGTTCTGTTTAATTAAGATTTTCTTATCCCCTGTTAATAGCTTGCTAGACCCTGCAAGAGCCTCCTGTATGTGATTAAAGTTCAATTTAGAGATTGAGATACAATTATTTAAGGTAAATTACATCTGTTTGAAAGTGAAACCAGTTTTTTTTTCATGCAGGCTCTGTCAATCATAGCCAGGGGAGGTGTGGCTAGGGCTGCATAAACAGAAACAAAGTGATTTAACTCCTAAATGACAGTGAACTGAGCAGTGAAATTGCAGGGGGATTATCTATTCACTAAAACTGCTTTATTTAGCTAAAGTAAATTAGGTGACTATAGTGTTCCTTTAATATATATTGCAACGATGTAAGGAATCCTTAAACTACAGATAACATTTAATACACTAAACCTAACAAATAGTTGTAGAATCACCGCTAATACTTAATTGGAGTGTAAATACCACAAAACGTGTGCCTTATATCCTTGCTCTATTTTAAAATGTTTCCAAAGTGTAAATGTTGTCTCACCTACAGGTTGGAAGTCTTGATCACTCATGTATTCATCTGTTTTAATTTTATAAAATAAAAAATGTATTTTTTTTAAGCATGTTTACCATATTGTTGGTTTAGTAGAATATATGTACAGGCAATGTCTGCTAAATAAAAAGTAGAAAATAATTGACGATTAAAGAATGTGCATTATAATAAACATTTTTTTAGGAATATATACCCAAACATATTTGCAGTATAGAGATTGCACGTTTTGAAATACTCACAGCTTTGTTGTCTGCAAAAATATTGCTATATTTTGCCTGATAAATGGTTTCTTTAATATTTGCCTCACCGACGGCCGTTTCTCAGGCTTTTGGCTTAACATTGTCCCAATTAAATCACCCAGATCACAGCTGTATTCTTTTGGCATTGGCGGCAGCTAGTACAATAGAAGCAAGGCATGTTAGGGAAGGTTACATGGGGTATCAGTCTCATTTTTGGCTATATTCTAATACAACAGATAATCTTAATGCCGATTAACAGTTCCCTCACTGACAACTATGGGAACATGGTTATTAATTGAAAAGAGATATGGCTAACTCTAATAATAGAATCATTTAACAGATCACAGTAAGAAAGAACATTAAGCAACACAACCAAATAGCCCATTGTAGTGTTTATGTTGCGAATAGTCTGTGTGTTTTGTCAAACCTTTTATAAGGGGTCTGCAACATAGGTAGCGGGCTAAGAGTGCTCAGATCACCAAACCTTAGCCTATTACCACTATCCAAGAAATTGACATTAATAATATGTAAGTGTTTTATTTGAAAATAAGTTGCGCTTATTATAGCGCACCTTTTCAAATACTATATTTCTGTGTGTTGTTTTGAGCTTTACACTTATTTGGTGCAGCTTTTTCTTTTTTTTTTTTAAATCTACTTCCTGATATTTATTGTTTTTAGACATTGTATTATTAGCGCCTGTTTTTCACTTAACACTTACATATTGTATACAAAGGATATCGATGTGGCAAATGGGATGGGGGCTCTAAGTGCCAGGTGCAGAAGTGGTTTCGATCAAACAACTCCTAATGGCTTTAAAAAAAACAAACATGAAAGGTGATGATCAAAGACTATAAGCAGCATAACCACTAGCCTAAGCTATAGTGGATATGTTGCTTAGAATGTCCCTTGAGCAGAACTTAAAGGGACATTATAGACTCCAAAACAACTTTAGCGTAATTAAGTAGTTTGTTTGTGTATAGATCATGCCCCTGCAGTCTCACTTCTCAATTCTCTGCCATTTAGGAGTTAAAAATCACCTTTGTTTCTGTTTATGCAGTTCTAACCACACTTCCCCTGGCTGTGATGCACACAGCCTGCATGAAAAAAAAAAAAATTGTTTAATTTTCAACCAGATGTTAACTTACTTTAGGCTAAAAAGGGAGTGACTATAGTCACCCGGCTCTCATATTCTCCAAGCAAGCACAATATGCTCTTAATAGTGGATATCTGCCTGTAAAAGGGTTCTCCTGTAGTCCCTTGTCATTCAATTGGTGGAAGAAAGGCCAATGCCACTCAATTCAGAAAAACTGATTGAGAGGTGGGGACACCTTATTATATGTAATAAAAATAAAAAAAATAAAGTTTTGGTAGAAATCTTATTAAAACAATGTTCCCAACACACTACCAAAATCAGAGTAGCTAAGTATACCATTTAACACTGTCGTTATAATTAATTTGGAAAATGTTTCCAATAGTATTGAATTATATAGAAAACTATTACAAATCAAGTTTTGTAAACCTTATCAGATGCCTCATAGGTTTCCTACTGACATTTTAGTATTTATAATATATATTAAGATGCTTACCTTCCCTTCAATAATTCGATAAACCAAAGAGTTCATGTCCTTGGCATTAAAAGCATGTTTCAGAGTAGCCATTTCATAAACACAGCAGCCCAGCGCCCAGACATCAGACTGTAGAGACAAAAACGAATTAGGCTGTAATTCAACATACTGGTATTTAGTACATGACTCTGCTACAAATGAAACAGAAAAACCGTATATCTCAAACAGATAACTCGGCACTGTGTGCAAGTGTGCAGATTCATCAACCAACAGATCTGGATTGGAAAGTGCAGATCATCAAATAATTTCAAGGGTCTATCTTAAATGTAATACACTAGAAACATTTATGGAAGACGAAACTCTAAAATATTACAAACATCAAGAACCTCCATTACCTTATAGTTGTAAGGTTTATTCGAGAACAGCTCCGGACTCATGTAGTAAGGCGTTCCAATCAAGGTGCTCGCCATTTCATACTGACTCTCCAGGACTCGTGCTATCCCCAGATCTCCCACTTTAATTATATTTGATCTTGTCAGGAAGATGTTTTGCGTTTTCAGATCTCGGTGCATTATGAGCTTATCATGTAAATACTGGAAACACAAAAATATAGAATAATACTTCATTTCCTTATTACAAGCAGTTATTATATCACTCAGGTTGTAAAAGTACTCAGTGTAACAGAGTGATTTTTTTTTTTTTTTTTTTAAATCTAGAAAATAAATAAAAAATAAACATGAAATTTGACACATTAAAAAAAATACAAAATGATGTACATATAATAACCGTACAGACCTATCTAGTTATGTCTAATAAGAAAAGCCATATAGCCTCTTTTCATTTCAAATCATTATTTATTTTAGATTGTAATGGTCTTCTTTCAGACAGGCATCATAATATTTCTCAGATTAAAGGGAAAGGCTAAGCATCAAAACAACTTTGGCTTAATGAAGCCGTGACCCTGCGATTTCTATGCTGAATTAACTGCCATTCAGGAGCTAACTCACTTTAGTTTCTGTTTATGCAGCCCTAGTCAGAAATCCCCTGGCTGTGACCCACACAGCCTACATGAAAAAAACGGTTTAATTTAAAATCTGATTTGAGAGCACAGTGTGTTTACTTTAAAAGTTTTTATCTCCTGATCTTTAAATTGAACTTTAAATCACAAAAGGTGCACATTCTAGAAGATTATAAACTGTGCAATAAAGTAAGTTTAAACATTAGATCTATACTAACAGACAATGTGTAGGGAGACTGTGCAGGTCACATGCGAAAGAGGTGTGACTAGGGCTGCATAAAGTGATTTAACTCCTAAATGGCAGAGGACTAAAATAGGTCTTGTCATGGTAGTACCATAGATGACTACAGAAAGCTTATCAAAACACCATAGTGAGAGCTTCAGATTGAGGTTACACAGAAAACTAAACATAGCTTCTGTTTCACTATACTAAACTATAGATCAATAGGGTATTTCCTTTTTATTACCGATTACAGGACTCTAGTGTCAAAGTACAACCCCAAAGATGCAAGATAGAGGAAATAAATAACATGAGAAAGTACCTAATACAGGACCTTACAGTGGATAGGCTTAACTTTATCATTACTATCTGTATATGTTCAGATATCCTCCTTGATTTTGACATTACTTTCTGTGTATATCACTCCCGACCCATCACTCTGTTTACAGGGAGTGCAGAATTATTAGGCAAATGAGTATTTTGACCACATCATCCTCTTTATGCATGTTGTCTCGAAAGCCTACTACCAATTAAGCATATTAGGTGATGTGCATCTCTGTAATGAGAAGGGGTGTGGTCTAATGACATTAACACCCTATATCAGGTGTGCATAATTATTAGGTAACTTCCTTTCCTTTGGCAAAATGGGTCAAAAGAAGGACTTGACAGGCTCAGAAAAGTCAAAAATAGTGAGATATCTTGCAGAGGGATGCAGCACTCTTAAAATTGCAAAGCTTCTGAAGCGTGATCATCGAACAATCAAGCGTTTCATTCAAAATAGTCAACAGGGTCGCAAGAAGCGTGTGGAAAAACCAAGGCGCAAAATAACTGCCCATGAACTGAGAAAAGTCAAGCGTGCAGCTGCCACGATGCCACTTGCCACCAGTTTGGCCATATTTCAGAGCTGCAACATCACTGGAGTGCCCAAAAGCACAAGGTGTGCAATACTCAGAGACATGGCCAAGGTAAGAAAGGCTGAAAGATGACCACCACTGAACAAGACACACAAGCTGAAACGTCAAGACTGGGCCAAGAAATATCTCAAGACTGATTTTTCTAAGGTTTTATGGACTGATGAAATGAGAGTGAGTCTTGATGGGCCAGATGGATGGGCCCGTGGCTGGATTGGTAAAGGGCAGAGAGCTCCAGTCCGACTCAGACGCCAGCAAGGTGGAGGTGGAGTACTGGTTTGGGCTGGTATCATCAAAGATGAGCTTGTGGGGCCTTTTCGGGTTGAGGATGGAGTCAAGCTCAACTCCCAGTCCTACTGCCAGTTCCTGGAAGACACCTTCTTCAAGCAGTGGTACAGGAAGAAGTCTGCATCCTTCAAGAAAAACATGATTTTCATGCAGGACAATGCTCCATCACACGCGTCCAAGTACTCCACAGCGTGGCTGGCAAGAAAGGGTATAAAAGAAGAAAATCTAATGACATGGCCTCCTTGTTCACCTGATCTGAACCCCATTGAGAACCTGTGGTCCATCATCAAATGTGAGATTTACAAGGAGGGAAAACAGTACACCTCTCTGAACAGTGTCTGGGAGGCTGTGGTTGCTGCTGCACGCAATGTTGATGGTGAACAGATCAAAACACTGACAGAATCCATGGATGGCAGGCTTTTGAGTGTCCTTGCAAAGAAAGGTGGCTATATTGGTCACTGATTTGTTTTTGTTTTGTTTTTGAATGTCAGAAATGTATATTTGTGAATGTTGAGATGTTATATTGGTTTCACTGGTAATAATAAATAATTGAAATGGGTATATATTTGTTTTTTGTTAAGTTGCCTAATAATTATGCACAGTAATAGTCACCTGCACACACAGATATCCCCCTAACATAGCTAAAACTAAAAACAAACTAAAAACTACTTCCAAAAATATTCAGCTTTGATATTAATGAGTTTTTTGGGTTCATTGAGAACATGGTTGTTGTTCAATAATAAAATTAATCCTCAAAAATACAACTTGCCTAATAATTCTGCACTCCCTGTAGATGTTACCTAGCAACCACGGACCCAAATCACTAGACGTTCACACATCTTCCATGCAACGTCAAGTGACCTTCAATACATACTTGTGGGTCGGCATTGATTGGTGACAAGTCTGCATTTCATTGGCAAGTTAATTTACACTTTTCTTATATTAATGTTAATTGTTATTTCACATGTTACAATGATCTTGAATAGGACCCGAACTGGTCAAAAAACGTTGATTATACACATGTAATTTTGTTTGTTTCTTTAAATAAACACTTTTGGATCATCATTTTATATATATAGTATATGCACTGATGGATAATGCCAATACAGTCACTACATGTAAAGTGAACATTACTTAGTTCACCTTATTTTGTATGCCCAGTCACTTTAATAGTATTGCTATAATCACTTTATATGCAGCGACCACTTTAAATATTGTAATGTTCACTTTATATGTAGTAACTCTATTGGCATTATCGATCAGTGCATATCACTGTTATTAGGTACTGTTTATATATTTATAGCTATCAATGCATTTTTAATTCATCCGTTTCTTATTAGTCAAGTTACACTTTCTAATAAGTGGATATACAGTTGTCCGCTCATCACCACTCACGATCTCGCTATGTTTTGAATACTAGCGTTGCCATAGGAACGCACTGTATGCTACCACGCCGGTTTGTAGTTACTAAGGGGTAGAGCCAATTCACACATGCGCCCGGCACTTGGCAACCCACCGAAGGCTTCTCACTTCACTTAGGTGTTGCTATGGGAAGACACTTAACATCATTAGAGGAGCGGAGTCACTCCACGCATGCGTCCGGCACTCTGCTGAACGCTGGAGGCATTTCACTTCACCTGGGGTAAGTTAGATCATCACACACATTTCACTAATGTTTGTAATTATGTATGTATATATTCTAGTGTGTATAGACCATTATTCATGTCTTGATCCTGAGGAAAGTCCCCATGAGGGAGTGAAACGTTGATCATTTTAATATGAAATAATAAAGAAGAGAAGATTTTATTACAAGTCCGTGAGTGCAGCCACATTTGTTGCTTTTTTGCTTGGATACATTGAGCCCTGACTGGCACCCGGCATTTATTTAAGTGTACAGCTTGAGTGCAAGGATATTTTCTGTTTATATATATTATTGTTGTCAGGATTATAAACCCACATATACAAACTAGAACAGGAATAAGCAACTTTCGGCACTCCAGAAGTTTTGTACTACTACACCTCCCATGACACTTTGCCAGCATTATGAGTGAAAGAGCATTATGGGGGATGTAGTCCACAACATCTGGAGTGTCAGAGGTTGCCTACCCCTGAACTAGAATATACAAACATCGGTTGAGTAGGCCTGTAAAAAAGAGGTGGGACGACAACTTCACGAAGGCGACGTCAAGTAAGGGTGAAAGCCCTGCTAGGCGTTTTATAGATCAGGGAAACCCCTCCCACAACTCCAGACTCCCACCTTCTGAATGTGTGTATATATATATATATATTCAGCCTGCAAGTGATTTGGGCTACTATCACTTTAAAAACAGGACTGGAGGGGGCGGAGCCGAACAGGCAAGCTAACTAGACACACATTGCATGAGCTCCTGCAGTGTAGGCCCAAATTCTACAGAAATCTGAGGAATAACTGCTGCGATTTCCCCACAAACCTGCCTATGAGCTGGGGGAAGCAACCGCGAACATGCCGGTACCTAACCTGAAGCCTGACTTGACCGGGAACCGCAGCGGTAAAATGAGGCCTAGTGGAAGTAGGGGGGAAGGACGGCCGCCTTCCCGCTGGATTCCAACTGCGGCACGCGGGTACAAAACACACACCCCCCCCCCATGGACCGGTGGGGGTTATCCCGGTCCTCGCCTGGCGGGCTATCCCGAACCCTGCACCAACAGACAACCATAAAGATCTCCATAAGAAACGAGGGGACGGGAGTGCCCAAGATGGCGGATCACTCCGACACAACAGTGTCTGACAAGCGACAGCAACCTCCGGATGCAGAGGACGCCGGGGACCACGCAAAAGATCCCATCACAATAATCTTTGACCGCTTCTGGGCCAAACTACAGACACGCTTACAGCCCGCAGGGCCCTGCCAAACATCACCCATGAGGGTAAGAGCAAATGGCGGACGGGAGCATGGGAGTCCTCCTCAGGGCAACTTTCAGACCCTAGTATTAAAATCCCACATCTTAGGCCCTCCCGAGCTGAGAGCAAGAAGGGGAGTCCCCCAGAGGCGCTGGCCACACAAGCGGAGAGAGGCAAGACGAACACCCAAGCGACCCGATCTAACTCCCCGCACCACCCCGAAAGGGCCGACCCTGGACCATGAAGGTTCCCAGGCTCGTGGCCTACGAGCGCCAGCTCTC